GGGACTCTTGAGGACTGGATTTGTTCCCTCACTCCAACAACCTTTAGTATCTCTGTGCGGTGGACTCACGCCTCCTGCGCCTGCGCAGCCTGGCGACCAACATCTTCGAAGACTGCAAGGAGCTAAAAATCGCTCCCGCCCACCCACAAGCTGGGCTGGACTTAAGGATCGCGGGCGGGTGTGTGTATGTGTGTGTGGTGGGAGTATTGTAGTGGTGGGGGTGGAATGGAAAGTGGGGAGGCTGTCTATGTGCCTGTCCAATTAGGGCAGTAGGAAGAGTCCTAGTGGCCAGACAGGTGAATGGAGGACTCAGGTTAGCAAGCCTAGGAAGGGGTGGTGAGGGGCGAGGCTGACGAACAAACATGTTTACAGCTGCTGAAGCGCTGGTAGCCCCGAGGGGCTCGAACCCTGGGGCAATAACTTTACTTGCCGCACCTTCACCCCCAGAATGTCCAAGCGCCTGGGCAAGGACCTGGGCCCTGCTGCCTCGACTCCGGTGGTGCTAGACGCCTCCCAGGCCATCCTCGAGGGGGCGCGCTAGGATGCAGCCCCTCCAGCAGTCTCCGGGATACCCGGGCGACGCCTGAGGGGCGGGGTCCGCGCTACCAGGACGCACGGTCACTGCACTCCTGGACCAGAGCATCCTCTGGCAGCACGCAGGGACGCCACAGCCGACCCTGGCGCAAGTTCTCCTGCGTTCTGCTCGGCCCCGCCCCAGGGCACCGACCCCATCCCCTCCTTGGAGCCCGGGCTGCGGCGTACCTGCAGCCTCCGGCGGCGGATCAGGCCCGAATCGTCCATGGCGGCGGCTACTTCGGTCCGGGGGAGGGAGGAGGGAGGCGGCGGCAGCAGGAGGAGGGAGGAGGGAGGAAGAGAGAAGCCTCGGGGACCGCGGCGGCGGCCGGCGAGGGGGGGGGCTGGGGGCGGAGCAAAGCGGGGCGGGCCCGGCGCCGTCACTGCGTCTGGGAGCCGGAGCCCGGTTTCGGCCACCGCTGCCCGAGCTGGGGGGCGGAGGGGCGAGTAGGGTCGGATGGGTGGAGCCTCCAGATGTCCTTAAGGGAGGCATGCTAGAGAAAGACCCTATCAAGACATTCTCTTGCACAGACCCTCCAAACCAAGAAAGATCCCCAAGGGAGCTATTCTCAACAGATGAATTCCCGGTGCGACTAGCGGCCCCCCACAGGAGATACATTCCCACAAGGGCGTAATCTGCATGAAGAGCTGTCCCTTCACCCTGAAAGTCACTCCTAATAGAGATATTGTCGGAGAGGTGATACTTCATTTCAATTTTCCCCTTCCTGAAGAGGCATTTCTTCAAAGATCTCACTGGTGCCATCTTTGGGGACCCTGAAGACAATGTCCCCCAAATGGGACCACTCGAAGGCATATGCTCTTCTCTGTGGAAAATTGTCTCCACCGCAGGATACCCTCAGATCCCCACAGATGCATTCTTCCAGAATCACGTGTTCTGACAAGAGGCTGGTCCTCGTGGGAGTTTCCCCCCAGAAAAATGTGTGTATACACTCAGACCTTCTTCCTTTGCCTGCCACAGAACAGAACCCCTTAAGTCCCACAGCCCCTCCATAGTCTTTGTCTCATGGTCAGGATTAAAGGGTTAGGCCAGGTCAGGATATATTAATAAGAGCGATTAGCTGGTAGCTGGGGAGGGGGCAGATGGAGCGATTCTTACTCCGCCCCAGTTCACTCAGCTGATGTCAAACTAGACCAGAGTTGGAGAGGACATCATCTGAGTCCTAGACAAAGCGGGAAGGGCTTTCCTAAGGTGGCTGACCCAAGGCCTTGGAGGACAGAGTCTCCAGACTAGAGTGACCTCTGTTGGACAACGGAGGCGACCACAAGGTCTGGGTCAGTGTGTTCTTGGTGGTTGACTCGCATGTCTACACCTTTGCCTGTGTTATTGTTATTTACATCTTTCTGTCTCTGTTGGTCAATGTAGCCATCTCAGTCTATTTCTTGTATTTGTTTCTGTCCACTGCTTCTGTTTTCTTTCCTCTTGTTCCCAGCTGGGAAAGCTGTCCCTGGTGCTGGCCTCGTGCTCCTGTCCACGGTGCTGAAATATGAACACCCTAAAGGCGGTGAGGGCGTGTGTGCACACAGGATCTTGAGGGAGGCAAAACCCACAAGCACGATAAATATGATCCACAGCCACCGTGGTCCAGCCAAGACAAAGGCTATATCCTGCAAGACTTGGTTCCTAGGGCCTCTATGATGTCACTGTTGCCCACAGAAAGAGAAGTATGAGTTCAGTCTGGGCTACATAGGGATATCCTTCCTAAGGGGGGAAGCATTACACTTACTGACCATTCTCTGTTTGCAAATGCAAAATAATATTTGGCAATATGGGAGTTCATCAATAAAAACAGACCAACAGTACATCCCTGACTTAGGGCCAGAGACAGGCTAAGCTCCAGGACAATCTGGAGAGATGTCTTATCCATTAAGAGCACACTGGGTGCTCTTCCAGAGACCTGGGTTTAATTCCTAGCACTCATCTAGTGGCTTACAACTATTCATAACTCTGACTCCAGGGGAGCTGATATCCTCTTCTGGCCTCTGTGGGTATCAAGCACAAACATGATGCACAGATACATGCAGCCAAAACAGCTATATGCATAAAATAATTTACATTTTAAATGAAAAAGGGTTCCTGATGCTTTTGCAAAGGACCAGAGTTTGGCTCCCAGCATTCACAATGGGTAGTTCACACCAGCTTCTATCCTCAGCTCTAGGTGATCAGAGGCATCTGACCTCCCCAGGCACCAACAGTAACGTGCACACATACCCTCCAATCCAAAACATACTAAAAACTAATTAAAGTAAGTATTTTTTAAATGCCTGCCTTACCCTGAGATTGGAGGGAGAGACATTCCTGGTAGTGATATACATATTCTATAAGGATGGATGCATATACTCTAAAAACATGTATATGAAATATGAGTACAAGCAGAAACAGTGTTCTGCAATACACTTGTGTGCACACATCCTACAAATATATTCAAACACTGCACACTTTTACATACACATACTCTTCAAACACACACACAAACAAGTATTCACACATGCTGTGTATATACTCTTCAAATAAACGCCCACTTATTCTCCAAAACACACATAGGGGTGGGGAGATTGATCAGTGGTTAGGAGAACATTCCACCCTTGCAGAGGACCCAAGTTCAGGTCTCATCACCCATGTCAGGCACCTCAAAATTGCCTTACCCCCAGCTCCAGGGGATCAGGGCAACTAAACTCATATCCACATACCTGTATAGACAGACAGACATGCACACACACATGTAATTTAAAACATAAAAAGAAGAAAACTACAAACACATAATTAGCAAAGAGATCACATACAACATATGTAAATATTTGCAAATATCCAGCAGACACACAAAATGTACATAAACACATATACATAAAAACCACACACTCAGGCTGGTGAGATGGCTTAGAGGCTAAGAGCACTGACTGTTCTTCTAAAGGTCCTGAGTTCAATTCCAAGCAACCACATGATGGCTCACAACCATCTAAAACATGAGATCTGGTGCCCTCTTCTGCCATACAAGCAAGCAGAACACTGTATACATAATAAATAATAAATATTTTTAAAAATTCATACTCTGCAATCATACAAACATATATTTAGGAATGACAGACTCATCAAATGCAAGCCCACTCAAAAAAATATACAAACACCCAACATACACAGTTCCAAAACTCAAAGGTGTACAATTTCCACCCAATAGTAGATACATATTCCTTCCAATATAACCCATATACAGGTGCATGAAAGCCATGTATGCCCCCTTCTCCAGAGCTTTTCCCCCGACTGGTTCCCCATCTTGAGTTGATTCTATTCTGTGAAGACTAAGATCTTGTATAAGTGCATCCCCAAAACCCAGTAGAGTTGCTTTGTTTGTTTGTTTTTGAGGCAGAGATTTTGCCATGGCTGTCCTAGAACTCACTCTGTAGAACAGGCTGTCCTTGAACACAGAGATTTGCCTGCCTCTGCCTCCCCAGTGCTGGGATCAAAGACATGCACCACTGTGCCCAGATTATCAGAGTGTGTGTTTAATATCTATTGGCCAGGCGGTAGTGGTGTTCACCTTTAATCCCAGCACTTGGAAGCCAAAGGTAGGCAGATTTCTGTGAATTCAAGGTCTACAGAACAAGTTTCAGAAGAGCCAAATCCTGTCTCGGAAAAAACAAAAATAAATGTCTACTGAATAAATGGACAGAATTCTAAATGACACAGATTTACAATAACTGTAGAAAGCTACAATAGCTTGTACCACATACACATGAAACCAACCACCCAAGAGACAGCCTCTCATACAACACAGAAAAGAGAAACAGATGCAGGATTACCCACACATCATAGAAAACAGAGAGAGAGAGAGAGAGAAAGAGAGAGAGAGAGAGAGAGAGAGAGAGAGAGAGAGAGAGAGAGAGAGAGAGAGAGAGAAAGGTGAGAGATATTAAATCCCAAGTTTAACATAGGGCAAACTTGTGGATATAAATTCACCAGTCCCAAGAGCTCCTGTTTGTGGCTGTGGGGGTGGGGCTTTGGAAAGCCCCGCCCCCGAACCAAACCACACCCCTTTCTGTTGTCAGTGTTTGCTAGCCTTGTTCTGTGGTTCTGAGGTGTCTCAGCAGTCCCTATACTCCAGCCTGCTAACAGGTGAGTAACAGGGAGTAGGGAGGTGGGAACCTTGTCTCTCATACCCTTGCTTTCCTCTGCCCAGAAGCTTTTGGTAACTATTAGCAGAATTCCAGCCCTGCCACAGTCCAGCTTGGTACCAAAGGTCCAGCTCAGCCGGGTGGAAGCTCCTAAGCCGATTGTGAGCCGAGAGAAGGTGACTGGGAAAGGCATGAGAAGCGCAGGGCTGGGCTGAAGAGAGAAAGGAAGTCTTGAGTGGAAGAGGGGCTGGGAAGAGCTGAGGTGGTCCTGTTACTCTGACAGAAGTTTGTATCAGAGGGCAAATAGGGGGAGAATGTTCGCATGTGTGGTTTAAGCTGGGGTGGTGTTTGGGCCTGAAGGAATGGAAGGAATGTGTCTGCTGGGAGCGGCTTTTGGATGAGACTCCCCCTAGGGTTCAGAGAGCCCTTGCCATTACCTGGCCTCCTCCTGTATTGCCCATCCTCTGTGCTGCCTGCTACCCAACAGTGCCAACCTGAGCCTCCAGAAGGACACTCACACCTTGTCCCTCCATATCAGCTGGTTCTTGTCTCAGGTGGACATGGCCCACAAAGGCCACTTTCAACCCAGCATCCTGAACTGGGTCCTGCAACTGATCCTGGCATGGATCTTCTTGGTGGCCTGTGGAGGGAGCCACCCACTGAAAGCTAGATTCTGGGGACACCCTGGGCTGGCAGCCAATGTGGGCAGGAGCCAGCTGCACCTAGCAGGTGAGCATTCTATCTAATCCCTAACACCCAGAAACCCCACTCAGACCTTCCTTGTAAGAGGGGCTTAGGGTAGCAGTGAGAGTGGGTGATGGAGAATGCTGGCTAACAGCCTAGACTCTGGCTTCCAGACTGCTTGGTTCCAATCCCAAATCCACACCTTGGTGCACTGTGACCTTGAGCAAGTCAGCTGACCTGGGTAGAGAGTTATGCATGGTGATGCCCACCTGTAATCCCAGCATATAGAAGGTGGATATAGGAGGATTAGGATTCAAGGCCAGCCTCAGTTACTTATGGAGCTGGAGGCCAGACTGGACTGCAGGAAACTCTGTCTCAAAATAAATAAATAGGTCTGATGAGAGGGCTCAGTGAGTAAAAATGACTGCCACCAAACTCAACAACCCAAGTTAGGTTCCTGGAACCCACATGGTGAAAGAAATCAATTCCTGTGACTTGTCCTCTGACTTACACACAAACACTGTCACACACAACAAATAAACATGGGAGAAATCATGGACCTAACATACAGGTGTTGTGGATAGTAAGCATATAAACACTATGCCACCACTTAGAAACATGGACAGATATAACCTGATTGTTATGAGTGATATAGTTATTGCTGCTTGAAGCTGCATTTCACATAAAAACATTCTGCAGTAATGGGAACTGAACCTAGCCGCCTTTCACGAGGTAGGTGAGTATTATACCACTCACCCTATTTATTTGTTTGTTTCTATTTTCAGTCAGGTTCCCTCTAAGTTGTCTCGCCTGGTCTTAAATTTGAGATTCCCTCTGCTTCGCCATCCAAGTTTCTGGGATTATAGATCCGTGCCATTTCATTCAACTCAAGAGAAATCTCTTTAAGGCTTTCCTCTTAAAGATGGCTGATAAAATTTCTCTTATCAGGGCACCCTCAGTCCTCGGTTGCACAGCCTTACCCAAGGATCCGAGATCCAGGTTCACAGACATCACCAGTGCCAGAACCTTGCTGTACCTCAGAGAAAGACAGACCTTTGACATCAAGCTCAGGGATCCTTCTAGAGAGCTGTGGTACTCCAAGCCCAGAGTGAGTACTGCACAGCCTGTCCCCCCCACCATTCTTTGCCCTATTTGCCCTCGCCTGGGGTCCCCCTGAGGATTGTGCCCTGCCTGCCCTGTCTCTCAAACATCCAGATGCGAATTCTTCCTGGGACAACTTCAACGTGCTCTCCGCAATCGCTTCCACCCCCTCCTGCTGGGAGTGCAGCCTCTCTGCCCGGAGCTCTGCCAAATTTGGTAAGGGAGGTGGGGACAGGGGCGTGCCCTAAGGTATGGGCTTGTCAGAGGGCCTTAGTTTGCCCCTATAAAGCCAGGGTGAGTCTATGGGGAGATCTAGTGTGTACCAGCTAGGTAGAAAGGGTAGGCGCCCAGGAATGACAGCATTTAAGACAGCATGAAGGTGTGGCTCTGGTAGGCCAGGAAGTTTCAAAAGCTTCCAGGTTTTGACTCTTAGAGGAACTAAAAGAGAAGGGAATGCAAGGAGCTGGTATTGTCTGGGCTAGAGAGATGGCTTAGTGATTAAGAGTGCTTACTGCTTTTCAGAGGATCAGAGTTCAGTTCCCAACACCCACGTGAGGCTCACAGACGCTTGTAATTCTAGCTCCAGGGGATCTGATGTCTTTGGGAACTTCCCTGCCACTGGCACTAGTGTGCGCATACAAGATGCAAGAAATGGACACACATAATTTAAAAATAATTTTAATCGTGGTGGCGGTGTGCACATCTTTAATCCAGCAAAATAAAGTTTAAAACATCTTTGGCTTTCTGAGACAGGGTTTCTCTGTGTAGTCCTGGCTGTCCCAGAACTCACTCTGTAGACCAGGCTGGCTTTGGTCTTATAGAGATCCACCTGTCTTTGTCTCCCAAATGCTGGGATTAAGGGCATGTGCCGCCGCCACCTAATTTTTTAAAGGGGTGGCCATTGTGGTAGTGTTGGTGGCCTATAATACCAATATTTGGGAAAGAGGATCAGGGTTCAAGGTCATCCTTAGACACAAAATGGCTCCTAAACTAGCTTTAGGTCCTGCCTTACAATAGGTTAGATGATTGATAGATGATATAGATGGGTAGACAGACAGAAAGGCAGATAGATCTGGGAGAAAGTTAACCCTGCAATGGTTGGGTTGGGCTTTTGGAAGAGTGAAGCCTGAGAGGTGGGAGCAAGGCAACCGTCTTTAGAAGCCATCTTCCTTCCTCGCACACCAGGCTCACCACCTGTGAAGCAGATTTTACCTGTGGACTGACTTGGCTGCAGCCCTCAGGGAAGAGACACTGTGAGGCCAGCTGCCGCACCTTTGGGCAGGTGAGGAACGGAGGGTGAGGGAACAGATGAGCTGGAGTACTGACATGCTTCAACACCCAGATTCCTGATGTCTTTTAACTAGTTACTTGGGGTGGGGGTGGGGGGCTGAGCTTTTGAAGGCTGTCCTGGAACCTGCCTCCCAAGTGCTGGCACTAAAGTCATGTGCCGCTAGCACCCAATGAGATAGGAACTTTCTACACAGCTATTATGCTGAAACTCACTATGTAGACCAGGCCGACCTTGAACCCTTGGAGATCAACCTGCCTCTGTGTTTCCAGTGCTATTAATCCCTTTGAAGGTGTGGGTTACACATCCAGCCAATTTTTTTTGAAAGACTTGTTTTTATTCTGTATGTTTTGCCTGCCTGTATGTGCACCATTTATGTACCTGGAAAAGGTCAATACAGGGTGTAAAATCCCCTAAAATTGGAATTATGGTTGTGAACTACCATGTGGGTGCCGCAAACCTAACCTGGGTCCTCTGTAAGAGCAGCCAATGCTCTTACCGGCTGGCTGCTCTTACAGGCTGAACCACCTCTCTAGTCAAGTGTTTAGCCCTATCTTTATCTATCTATCTATCTATCTATCTATTTATTTATTTATTTATTTATTTTGGAGACAGGATTTCTCTGTGTTGCTTTGGAGCCTGTCCTGGAACTTGCTCTGTAAACCAGGCTGGCCTCGAACTCAGAGATCCGCCTGCCTCTGCCTCCCGAGCGCTGGCATTAAAGGAGTGCGCCACCAACGCCCGGCTTTTTTTTTAAAACATTTTTTTATTCATTTATTTTTTTTACATTCCAAGTTAGCCCTAACTTAACCCATTTTACTGTATCTAGCCGCTGGGCTCATACTCAACTCTTCCCACAGACCCAGCCTCCGTGTGGAATGTGTGGGTAGTGTCCCAACAGCCCACTGACTCCAGACTCTCCTTCCAAGTTACTGTCTTTGCTCTGAGTTCTCAACAGGCCCAGGAAACCTGTCGCTACTCCCCTGGCTCTCTCTGGCCCAGAGACCAACCAGTCCCTCAAAGAATAACCGGACCCTCCCATTGCCCAGGCCACGCCCCAGGCAGGAAGACCAGCCCCGGGGTCTTAGGTTCCACAGGCTCGAACCCTGACTCCACCCTTTCTCCTAGACCTTCGCCAATGCTGAAGACCTGTGTGGCACGGTTCTGGGCCACGCACTGGTGGCAGCTCCTGGCTCTCGTCACTGTCTCAACATCTCCATCTCCTCTCTACGAGCCCGCCGCTCTCGCGCCTGGATCTCCAATGCTGCAGGCAGTGGCAGTGGCAGCGGCAGCGGCGACAGCCCAGAGTAGCTGTTTGGCTTTCAATAAGTGTCCCTTTTCTGGACCAAGAGCAAGAAGCCACCCAGAGTCACATACCTCTCCCTCCCAAACCACACCCCAGGGTTTCGAATACAGGCCTTTCTACCCATTATCCTAGAAATGGCCCAACTGACTCTTATTTTGCTCTTTCCCAGAAAAAGTTACCACCCACACCATGCTATATGATGTGGCTGCTGCTTGGTGAAATAGTTGGTGAGAACTGCCAAAAATAATAGTGTCAGAGTGGAAGAGAAAGTGGAGAGACAGAGAGACCAGTAAAATGGCACAGCAGGCCAAAGCTGATGACCTGCACTCCGTCCCCAGAACTCACATGGCAGTATAAGAACCAACTCCTGAAAGCTGTCTTCTGTCTGACCTCCACGTTTGCAGCAGCGCCCTTGGTCCCTTCCCCCAAATAAATCAATAAATGTAATAAAATAATTCTTGGCTTTGAGTCAAGGTCTTTTGTTTTTGTTTTTCGAGACAGGGTTTCTCTGTGGATTTAGAAGCTGTCCTGGAACTAGCACTAGCTCTGTAGACCAGACTGGCTTCGAACTCACAAAAATCCACCTGCCTCTGCCTCCTGAGTGCTGGGACTAAAGGCATGCACCACCACTGCCTGGCTAGGGTCTCATTAAGTAGCCTTAACTGATCTGTAACTACATAGACCTGGCTGGTCTCTAACTCAAGAGATCTACCTACCTGACTCTCAAATGTTGGGATCAAAGGCATGTGCCACCACAGGAAAGAAGAGGACCAGCGAGATGGCTCTGCTGTGAATAGCACGGATGCTCTCAGAGGACCTGATTCCCAAGCCCACAAGGTGGCTCAAAACCATCTCTAACGCCACTTGCAGGTTATTTGGTGCCCTCTTCTGGTTTCATTGAGCATTGCATGTACGTGGCGCAGGGACAGACATACAAAACACTGTATCTATGTCTATTGATATATAGACCAAGCTGGCCTCAAACTCACAGAGATCCACCTACCTCTGCTTCCTGAATGAGATTTAAGGCGTGCACCACCATTGCCTAACAACACCTTTACTTTCATTACTCAGGAGACAAGAGAAAGGTAAACCTCTGTGAGTTTGAGGTCAGCTTCGTCTACAAATTGAGTTCTAAGAGAGCCTGGACTACATAGAGAAATCCTGTCTTGAAAAAATAGACAAGGGCTGGAGAGATGTCTTAGCGGTTCAGAGCACTGACTGCTCTTCCAGAGGACCCAGGTTCCGTTTCCAGCACCCACATGGCAGCTCACAACTGTCTGTAACTCCAGTTCCAGGGGATATGACACCCTCACATCAATGTGAATAAAAATAAAGGTAAATAAAAAGCATTAAAAAATATGAAATAAAAAAAAACCCACAATTTCAAAATGGGGCCAAGCCAGAGGCAGAAGCAGGTGGATGTCTGTGAGTTTAAGGACAGCCTGGTCTATATGCTATATGGTATGTTCCAGGACAGCAAAAAAAAAAAAAAAAAAAAAAAAAAATATATATATATATATATATATATACATATATACATACATATATATATATATATGGCTAGAAAAGAGCATATAGCACCCATACAGAACAAGCTGTAACTGCCTCTAACTCCAGCTCTAGGGAAATCTGAAGCCTGTGGACTTCAAGGGCACCTACAATCATGTGTGTATATTCATGTGTTTGTATACCCACACAAAGACATACACAAAAACAATTTTAAAATCTTTAAAACAAAAGGTGGGCAATGTGACGCATGCCTTTAATCTCAGCACTCAGAAGGCAGTGGCAGGTGGGTCACTGTGAGTTCAAGGCCAGCCTGGTCTACATAGTGAGTTCTAGCAAACTAGGGCTACACAATCAAACTTTGCTTTAAAAAAGTTAGCAAACTGCACCAATCTAGAAACATCTATTCTTTGATGTCGAGTCAGAGGCTAGCCACAGGCATACTCCTATCAGACCTTAGCCACAGAGCACACCGTTTCCTTTCCCTGAACAGCTTTAATTCCTGAGTAAGAGGGGTTGGGTACACACATTTGCCTCTAGAGGCTGTTGGCTGCCTCCAGGCCTCGCTCCTGGAAGTATCTGTGGGGGACCTGAGGGCGGCAGCTCTGAGGGCCCTGGCTGAGAAAGTAGGATGTGATCCTTCCAGGCCGCTCAGGATCCTCCTCAGCCGCTGAGTCCTCCCTGTGGGGGAAAGAAATGACACTGGCTACTTTCCATGGGGTTGAGGGAACAAACCATGGCCTCCCTCCTCCTCTTCTGCTCCCTCAGGCCACGAACCATGTGACACCTTCTGCCTCCTCTTCCAGAATGGCTTGAGCAGTGCTCCAGCTGAACCGGACAAACTGGGGGAAGCCAAACACAGGATCCACACTTTTCCTCAACCAGGCTTTCGTCTTGGGATCTAGGAACAGAGAAGTGATGGTGACAGCACTGAGTGGCAGTTGACAGCCACATGCCACCTTCATCCTCAACTTCTTTACTTTGTTGTTAAGTTTCACTATGTACACCAGGCTGGCCATCCACCCGCCTCTGCCTCCTGAGTGCTGGGATTAAGGGTGTGTGTCTTTGGCTGTGTGAGTACCAGAATCCACTGTCTTTTTGTTTTTTCAAGACAGGGTTTCTTTGTGGCTTTGGAGACTGTCCTGGTACTAGCTCTTATAGACCAGGCTATTCTCGAACTCACAGAGATCCACCTGCTTCTGCCTCCTAAGTGCTGGGATTAAAGGTGTGTGCCACCACTGTCTTAAGTGGCCTTCTGTCCCTGACCCTTTGAACAGGCAGGTGTGTCTCACCTGTGCCTAAGAAGTTTGGGGAGGTTGGGTGGTGATGGCACACACCTTAATTCCCAGCACTTGAGATGCAGAGACAGGCAGATCTTTGTGAGTTTGAGGCCAGCCTGGTCTGCAGAGCTACACAGAGAAACCTGTCTCAAAAAACAAAACAAAGCATTGTTTTGGGGGAATTTCTGAGATAAGTCCCTAAAGTACAAGTATGAGGGTCATTAAACTGGTTGCTTTGTTTGGGACAAGGTCTTGCTATTTTGCCCAGGTTAGCTCCAAACTTTCAACTCTCCCACTCCTGCTTCTGGGATAAGAAAGCACTACTGTTGCCTAGCTTAACTTTCTCTTGGAGCAGGTGTGTGAGCATTCCTTTCCAAAATGGAGGAGACAGGAGTTTCACTATGGAAAGAATATGAAATGAATCTGTGGCCCACACTCCTTTTACTTTTGTTGTTTGTTTTAGGTTTTCAAGACAGGATTTCTCTGTGCAGCCCTGGCTGTCCTGGACCTGGCTCTGTAAACCAGGCTGGCGTCAAATTGACAGAGATCCGCCTGCTTTTGCCTCCCGAGTACTGGGATTAAAGGTATACACAGCCACCACCAGTTTTAAATTTTTCCCCCCTTCTGGTTTTTAAATATTTATTTTAAAGTGTATACTTGTGTGCCTCTGTGTGTATGTAAGTGCAGGTACCCTTGGAGGCCACTGGAACCCCTGGAGCTGGAGTTCAGGCAGTTGTGAGCTGCCGAATGTGGGTGCTGGAGCTGAACTCTGGTCCTCTGCAAGAGCAGCTCTTGGCCACTGAAGCATCTCTCCAGACTTCATTTTGCTTTCTGAAAATTTATTTTACATTTATGTGTACAGCATGCTTTGAGGCACCAGACACACACATGGTGCACAGACATACACTCTGGCAAAACTCCCATACATACAAAATAAAAGCTTGTTTATCTTTTGAGGCAGGTTCTCTATATAGGCCTAGCTATTATGAAGCTCACTGTGTCGACTAGGATGGCCCCAAACTCACAGAGATCCTCCTGCCTCTGCCTCCAGAGTATGAAAGCTTTAAACCTTAGTGAAAAGAATGTTGTCAGCTCACCATTGGGATAGCCAGAGCCATAATCAGAATCCAGATCCTGTAAACTCTCCACAAACTGCCAATTCTTCACAGCTTGGTCTCGAGCCACCTGCAGGCAAGACAGTAGCTTACTGCCTCCTTCCTCACAGGAATCTTGCCTGTCCCTCCCTACACAAGGGAGATGCTGGGAATGGGCCCTGGCCATCAGGATGCTAACCTTGGCAAAGATGCTTGCAGCACTAACCACAGGGAACAGGGAGTCTGCTTTGGCCTTGACTGTCACCTCCATCCCTGGAAAGCGCTGTTGCAATCGAGCCTGGTATGTCTCTGGCATTCCTACAGTGTCCACAAATACCTGCCATGGTGACAATAACATGGGAAAAGAAATGTACTCCTTTAACAAACAGGAGGAAAAACAACTACAAAACATGCAGTCTCCTATCCTACTGAGGCCAGAACCCAGGACCTTATACATGCTACACAAATATTACCAAACTAAGCTACCAGCCCAATATTGTTCAATCTTATGTGTTTGGGTGTTTTGTCTGCATGTATGTATCACATGTGTGGTGGCTGTGAAGAGGCCAGAAGAGGTCAGATAACTGCAGACAGGTGCTAGAAATTGAACCTGGATCCTCTGAAGAGCAATCAGTGCTCTTTAACTGCTGAGCCATCTCTCTAGCCCACTGGTTTCTTACTACAAAATTCAAGGGATGGGGAAATGGCTTAGCAGGTGCAGGTCCTGGCACTCCATATTGATCTTAGTTAGAGCCTCAGTCCCCATGAAGGTGACAAGAGAAAGCAGATTCTGCAGTTACCCTGAGTCCAATGCATGCCATGACACGCATGTCAGCACCCATCTGGGTGCTGAGAATTGAACACAGATTTTTTGCCAAGTGCTCTTACTTGTTGAAGCATCTCGAGCTCCACAATGTTTTAAAAACTTATTCTATCAGTGTTAAGTATAGCTCAATGACAGAATGCCTCTTAATACACCTGTGGGTGCTGGGAATCCAACCCAAGTCCTCTGAAAGAGCAGTCAAAGTTCTGTCTCTCTAGTCCCAATTTTTTTTGTTTTTGTTTTTTTGAGACAGAGTTTTTCTGTGTAGCCCTGGCCATCCTGGGACCTGATCTGTAGACCAAGCTGGCCTCAAACTCAGAGGTCTGCCTGCCTCTGGCTCCGGAGTGCTAGGACTAAAGGTGTGCACCACTACCCCAGCTGTTTACTGTAGCCTGGCTCTAGGGTGACTTTCTGGGTTTTTTTTTTTTTTTTTTTTTTTTTTTGTTTTGATTTTGTCTTTTGAAATGAGGTTTCTCTGTAGCTCTGAAGCCTGTCCTGGAACTTGATCTGAGACCAGGCTGGCCTTGAATCAGAGACCCTCACACCTCTGTCTCCTGAGTGCTGGGATTAAAGATGTGCGCCACCCCTACCCTCTCCTCTCACTCCCCCTACCCTCTCTAGGGTGACTTTTAAAGAATAGCTGTGACTATGACCTCTGGCTTCCACCTACACATACATGTATACATTTTTATTTATTGGTTTGTTTGCTTAATTTATTTAAATATGTGTGTGGAGGGGTCCCTCTCACTAAACCTGGAGCTCACCAAGATTGGTTAGCCAGCAAGATCTTCCCTTGACCCAGCACTGGGGTGACAGGTTTGTGTCAATGTGCCTGGCTTTACAATGGGTGCTATGTATCCAAACGAAAGTCCTCACAATTGTTTTAGACAGGGTCTCACTGTGGGTGGGTGTCCTGGAACTCAAGAGATCTGCCTGCCTCTGCCTCCTGAGTTCTGGGTTTGAAGGGTGTGCCACCATGGCCTTCATACTCATGCTTCTGCAACAGGCACTTACCAACTAATTCATAGAGGGCCTCCAAATACACCCTGAAGCCACAATTCTCCTTCCTCTACTATGTCCAGCCGTATTTAAAAAGAAAGAAAACAAACAAAAACCAAAAAACCATGGTTGCAGGTAGTCCATGCTGACATCAACTCACTCTGTAGCTAAAAGTGACCTTCAAGTCTTGATCCTCCTGCCTCCACCTTCCTGTGCTACTACTCTGGCTTCATGCCAGGATGGAAGCCAGGACTTCTGCATGCTAGGCAAACACTCTACCAAGTGAACTACATGCCCAGTTCCCATTTTTTTAAAGCCCCCTTTAATCAGAAGGTGACCAAAGGGATGCGACCCAATAGCTCACCTGGGTGACTTTCACACCCTGATCCAGCGCATACTGTATCAGCCCCGCAGCTGTATCATGGGACAGGGAGTTGAGGTTGTACTTGACCCTATGGTTGGGAACAGAGCTCAGTCAACACCATCACAGATGCAGAACACAGCCAATTTGTGTTGGTTGCTCTCCCCCACCCACGCAGGGGCTCCTCACCGCCCAAGCATGCTGGTAGAGATCAGGTTTGGAGACAGAATGTCCAAAACCCAACCCACAGAGTCTCTGTCCTCCTCCATTTTCGCAAACAGCCTCTCCCGTTCATTCTCTGTCAAGGTCTTTGAGTCTGAGAAGAAAGTTGAAGAAAAGGCGAGCGGTTCGCTGGTCCTTTCGGCTCCTGCTTCCTCCATCTCACCTGCCCTCCTGCACATAGCCCAGAACCCCAAGTGTAGATATTCAGCAGAGGCTCACCTGCCACTTTCAGGGCCTCCAGATTTGCCAGGCGGGACAAGGGGCAGTAACAGATGGCGTAGACCATGGGGCCTTGGGAGGAAGTCACATTTCTGAGAGCAAGGTTCCAAGCAGTGAACATCTAAAAACCGCCTGCCTTGTCCCATCACCACCACGGCCCAAGGACATTCCACTATCACTCCCGGGTCCCAAGACCGTGCTTGATTCCCACTCCCATCTCACCCGCAAACTACACCCCTTTCACCACGCGCCTCCCGGCCTGCGGCCCTAGGGACGCACCAAGCACCGGTCCCCGGCCCGCTTCATCCACTCCTAGGACGCATGGCTCTTTGAGGCACACGGCGGGTACAGGAGAGCTCAGGCGACAGCGGCCCGTATTGTCCCTCTCCAGCTCTCTGAGGTCCATGCTGCCTCAGCAACAGCCAACAGCTGTAGAAAACAATACTGCAGGCACAGGTCCCAGCGCGGGTTTTCCGCGGGTACGGTTGCCGCTCTCGATGCTGACCAATCAGCGCGCAGAAGCCGCCCCCGACGCGCCCGCCGTCGCAGTCGTTTACGCAGGCGACCCTGTCGCCGCTGCCGTACCTTCTTCTGGGAATTGTAGTCTTCGCGAGCAACCACTATGGGTGTAGTTTGTAGTTGAGGGTGGACAGGGTCGCTTTGCAAGCTCCGCGCCGTTGCTGCTAGAGCCTCAGTGACTGGTGTGTAAAGAGAAATAAAGAGGAATTAAGACGCAGTTCAGATGACTGTTTTTTGTTTGAGATAGTTTCGCATAACTCCCAGGCTGCCTCCCTCGAAGTCACTATATGGCCTAGTATGACCTTCTACTCATAATTCTCTTGCCTCCACCTCCTCGATGGTGGGATTACCAGCCCACACTCACCTTTTTTCGAAATTTAATAAATCAAATATCAGATGGGAGGTAATGGTGCACGCCTTTAATCCCAGCATTCGGCCTGGTCTACAGCCCAAGTTCCAGGACAGCTAGAGCTACACAGAGAAAGTCTGTCTTGGAAAATAAACCAGGGGTTGGGGAGATGGCTCAACTAGCAGTAAAAGCTCTGACTGCTCTTCCAGAGGTCCTGAGTTCAATTCCCAGTAACCACGTGGTGGCTCATAACCTCCTGTAATGAGATCTGGTGCCCTCTTCTGGCCTACAGGCACACATGCAGGTAGAACATTACACATAATAAATGAGTAAATCTTTAATTAAAAAGAAAAAGAAACCAATTTAATCCCAACACCAGTACTTGGGAGGCAGAGGCAGGTGGCCAGCCTGATCTACAACATGAGTTCTAGAACAGCCAGAACTTTTATCTGTTACATAGAGAAACCCTGTCTCATACATACATACATACATACATACATACATACATACATACATACAATTAAAAAAGGAAGGAAGGACGGAAGGAACAAAGAATATCACTGCACTCTTGGTCTCACTGGGTCCTGATCTCGACCTGCCATCCAGGTTTGTGCTGGGTATCTATCTGTTTCTTCACACTTTTTTTCCTCCCAGCAACTAACTGTCTCCCTGGCTGATAGTCTATGCTCCTAGTACTAGGTGTCCCAGATTTAACAGGGCTCAGGCATTCTGATTCAGATTTCCCAAAATCCTTCTGTTGAGGACCCTGCTGCCTGCCTGAGGTGGTGGTGGTACACACCTTTAATCCCAGCACTAGGGGGGCAGAGGCAGAGGCAGGAGGATCTCTTTGAGTTGGAGACCAGCCTGTTCTAAAAAACAAAAAACAAAAAAAAAAAAAAACAAAACAAACAAAAAAACCACAGCTCCTGATGCCTCCTGAACCTGTTCCACAGTTCCATCTTATTAATCATATTAAAGCAAAGCCTTCTATACAATCGTTATAGATGCCAGGCCCCAGCAGATTCCCATTTAGCACACATCATGCAGGTTTCTCTCTCCCTTCCCTTTCCCCATTCCTCTCCTGCTCTCCCCTAGTTTAGGGAACCCCACATCTCCCAGACCCCTCTGTTACTCCAACCACACTCCTCTACTGCTCTCTTGGTGGATGGGACACATGTCCCTTTGTGTGGAGTCTTGTTTCTCATCAAAGCCACGGTCCATCCTCTGAATCCCACTTCCTCTGTCATGTGCTGTCTTCTCTTCAACACTTTCCTTTTCTTCTTTTGTTTTGAGGACAGGGTTTCATGTAGCCTTAAGTGGCCTGACCTTGATGTGTAGCCCAGATTGATATTGAATTTTTTGATCCTCCCGCCTCTGTCTTGAGTGCCTGAATCACAGGTGTGCACCACCAAAATGGCTTGCTCCCACCAACTTTTCCTGATTTCTCCCTAGCTTTCAGAAAGGTTCAGCTACCTGCTCCTCCACCAGCCTAAAGCCTCAGACTTTGGGTCCAAGTACTCACCTCACACCAGCCACTACCTCACTTTTTATCTCCCTGACTACTCCTGGATCCGCCAGCCAGTCCTCACTGGTTTTCTGTGCCTCCTCTTTTGCTCACCTCTGCTCAGACCCTCCAGTCGCAGTCCATTGGTTTGCAAGATGAACAATCCCGTTGCCGGCAGGGCCTCAACTGTACCATGTTCTCTCGATCCATGAACACTGGCACTGGTGCTGTACCCAGCACCTGACGGCTGCGTTCCTGTTTGCCCAGATCGCAGAAGCAACGCCACTTTCCCCACGGACCTAGGACTGAGTCTTCCACTACTGGAGATGGAGGATGGACATGAAAACCCAGTTGGGGTAATACCACCATACAGGGGACTTGTCCAGGGAGAGACAATGATAAGGAACCTTATATCAGCTGGTGTTCAAAGACTTTGCTGCCTCTGTGTGGGGGTGATCTAGGGAAAGCAAACCACTCTGTCTAAGTTGACACACATGAGCTGCCCACAGCTGCAAACTGACATCTCTAATCTGTGCCAACCTGCTCAGTTGAGAGTATGGACACTCTGTCCTTCATACTTAACATCCAAAGTTGACTCTTGCCTACTGCCACCTGACTGACACACAGAAGGATAAATGATATAATTGACACAAGGAATTTACTTAAAGCCCCTACTGCTGCCACTACCTTGTAGCAACAAAGTAATTTTTGTGCTCAGGAGCAGCTACGATTCCTCCTCCCTCCCCCAGTGTGGTGCTAAAGATAAGATTTAGCCCAGGGCCTCACACACTTTGGTCAAGTGCTCTACCACCCCTGACCTACATCTTTACAGAACTCTTTCCTTCCTTCCTTCCTTCCTTCCTTCCTGCCTGCCTGCCTGCCTGCCTTCTTCCTTCCTTTTTTTCACCAGAGTCTCGTGTACTCTAATTCCTCTAATTCCTTTGGTAGCCACAGATGACTCTGAATTTCCTTCCGTTCCCCTGAATCCAGCTCCCAAATGCTATGATTACAGAGTGCACTGCTTAGGCAGTATTGGGGAAGGAACAGGACTTCGTTGCATGCTGGGCCGATGCTCACCAACTGCGCCTAGTGCAACCCAACCCTTCTCAGAACTCTGTTGATGCTTCCTCATGTGGGATGAACTCTCAGAGGGTGGGGCCTCAAACCCTTCCTCATCAAATCTTTGCCAAAAGACACTCAGCTTTACCCACTCTCCCCTAGGCCTTTGACCTTTGCACTTATTGCCTCTTCTGGGGACACTGTTGCTCAGTCTTTGTAATTTGACTCTGCTAGTCATTCCGGCTGTATGTTACTACCATCTTCACCACACCTTTGCTGACATCTCAAGCTGACTGGCCAGTTTCTTTCCCTGTCTCCGCCCTTCCTAGCACTATGTTTATAGGTTGTTTATTGTCTCCTAAATGTGTCTATTACAGTTATCAGATGAGCAAGGAAGCTGCAGAGCAAAATTTTCAGTAAAGTGAAATAAAACAAAACAAAAACAACTCACAGATGAGAAACCAAGACACTCAGAGAAAAGTGGCCAGTCCCAGAGGACACTGCCTATGCTGAGCTGGGCAGAGTCGACACGAGTCTGTTTGTAGTCAGCTGAGTAAGTGAGGCCTTTGGGGGCACCTTTTCAAATTATCACTTCCGCCACCGACTAGTTTACCCTTTTTTCGCTGCAGCCTCAGCAGCTCCCAGGTGTCACCTTTGCCCTGCTGGCCAAAATACTGGTAGTCTGGGTCGACCTGAGTAGGGGACACCAGACCCAGGAGCACTAGAGGTGGCAGCAACAGAGCCAGCCGGCTCCGGGCCATGCCGGACTCCAACCGACCCCAACGCGCCCAGGCGGCCCAGCTCCGCGTGGAGCACACAGCACAGACAATCCAGGCGACTGCGAAGGTACACCCCACCCATCCCTTGTGCATGCGCGTGAACCAGTCCGTGCGCGCTCCCCCTCTGCAGGCTCAGTGGATGCGACCGCCAGAGCTGTCCCGCCCACCTCCCCCTGTCCTGCTTAGTGTGGTTTGGACCGCGAATAAAATGCTCGCGGGCCTAGGGCTTGCTTGGCTCTGAGATCTCTGTGCTTTGTGTCCTGTAGTGCGCGTGTCCGGCTCTTGCCCACGCAGGTATGGAAACTCAGAATGCACACGAATGGGAGTAGCCCCACTGATGCGGTTCTGGCCTTATCAAGACCTCCTTGCTAGCGGTCTTTGTTTTCTATACTCAATGGTGGCCGCCTTTGTCCTTGCGGCAGGTGGGGGTGGGGGTAGGGGTGGGGGGGAACCAAGGTCGGAGCCGTAGCTTGCAAGCCTTATCCGCCGAGCTCACAGCTCCTCGCTGTTTGCCTTGCCAACCGGTTCTGAAATGGAGGGCTCGCGTCCCTTTCCCCGCGCTTGAGCTGACTGGATAACCGGGTGGCAGCGGTGAACCCCATCACTTGTGTCCTGTTTAGGGGGCCGGGTCTCCTGAGGCCTTGCAGACCTTGTTCTGAGAGGGTGAATATGAGTGCTGCTGCTCCCATATCTCGGATTCAGTGTCTAGGCTCAGTCCCAAGAGTGACCTTGGGAAAGTAAGACAAAGGGTCTTTTGTGGCACTGAGCAGCCTTGCGTGGGTCTCTGCTTTCAGTCATGGCCTCAGGCAACGCGCAGATCGGAAAGCCGGCCCCTGACTTCACGGCCACCGCCGTGGTGGATGGCGCCTTCAAGGAAGTCAAGCTTTCGGACTACAGAGGTGAGGCTGTCCGGAGGGCGACCAGGTGGGGATAGGCTCCGCATATGAAAGGGCTGGAACTAACTTTTCTTCTCTTCCCTAGGGAAATACGTGGTCCTCTTTTTCTACCCGCTGGACTTCACGTTCGTATGCCCCACGGAGATCATCGCTTTTAGCAACCACGCTGAGGACTTCCAAAAGCTGGACTGCGAGGTGCTCGGAGTGTCTGTGGATTCTCAGTTCACCCACCTGGCATGGTATGGGGCTGCGCAGAGCGGGGGGAGGACAGGGAGACCGGGGTGTAGGAAAACCCAAACTGTGGGGATAAACTGTTTCTTCTGATGCTTACTCTTTTAAAGAATGGAAACAATGGCACCCAAGCCCTACAAGCCCTTACAATAATGACAGTAATTAGCGTTTGGCACCTAATTGGAAGGTACAGGACATGGCAGATGCTTCTAGGCTTAGTTCTCAGGAGACAGGCTGGCCTTGCCCTATTTCATGAAACGGGAAACTCTAGTTCTCAAGAGTGATGGATTGATGTAAAGACCAGAGCTAGATGATGTTGGGAACCGCCCACCTCCCTTTTTTTTTTTTCCCCAGAAGTAGGGGTCAACTCAGGGTTTCCTTGCTGCAAAGCAAGTGCCCAAGTTCTAGCCCTGCTGTTGGTTAAAGTGCTGTCCCTACTTCTAGTTATTGGAGCCTACCAGCACAAGTGAAGCTACTTGAAGATGAAGCTTTATTTGGGGCCATTCTCTTTCCAGCTATACTGCCTCCACCAGGGTGGGGAGGGTGGGGCTCCCCGGCCATGTTTTAAGTCCTTTATCTCTTGCTTCCAGTACCTCCACTCCAGCTCTTATCACACTGGAGGCCCATGGGGGAGAATTCTGCTGTGCTGGACATCCTAAGGCCCCAACCCTGTCTCTCTCACCCTCAGGATCAACACTCCACGGAAGGAGGGAGGCTTGGGCCCCCTGAACATCCCTCTGCTTGCTGATGTGACTAGAAGCTTGTCTGAAAATTATGGAGTGTTGAAAACTGATGAGGGCATTGCCTACAGGTATAGCAAGGACCTCAGCCCAGCTCCAGGAGTCCCCATCTCAAGGCTAAAGGGACCACTGTGGCTAATGGGGTGGTGTGTATGTTTCCTTCCCTGGCCCTGGCAGTGGGGGACTCCAAGCTCCTCACTATAGGCCCTCATGTCTTCAGGGGCCTCTTTATCATCGATGCCAAGGGTATCCTTCGTCAGATCACAGTCAATGACCTACCGGTGGGACGCTCTGTGGATGAGGCTCTTCGCCTAGTCCAGGCTTTTCAGTATACAGATGAACACGGGGAAGGTGAGTGCATGTTCACAGATGGGGAGGATTCCTCAGCTCTCTGCCCAGCTTGTAGACATTTACTGTCTGCCATAGCATCATTGTGGGATGTGTGTTAAAGCCCCATACAAAGGCTAAGTAGATGACTTAGAGCATTGGCTGCTTTTCCCAAGGACCAGGGTTGGATTCCCAGTACCCACATGGTGGCTCATAAGCATTTTTTAACTCCAGTCTCGGGGGATCTGATGCTCTTCTGGTCTCCTCCTGTGACAGCCACACACTGTACACAAGTAAACATATACAGGCAAAACAAACACGTGAAATTAAAAACAAAAACAAAAACAAAAAAAACCCATAAAATTCAGTTCTCTGCCTGCAGGGAATGTGTAGGATGGGCAGGGATTGGTATACAAGGCTGAAAGGTTGGGAGCTGATAGGTATACAGAAGGTATTTAAGCTAGGTTTACTGGGTCATGCCAATCTTGGAAGACTAGGGCAGAAGGAAGTCTGAGACAGAATTGAAGCCAGCCTATGATATAGAATGAGACCTTCAAAAATAAAATGAAAAGGGAAAAGAAAATAGTGCATTAGCAAGGTTATCTACAGGATTTCAAGCTGGGAATTTGACATTTTTGGTAGAGTGTTTGCCTGGCATTCACAAAGCCCTGAGTTCAATCTCTATGACAATAAACTTGGACATGGGCTGTGTGTTGGTAGCACATGCCTTTAATCCCAGCACTGGGGAGGCAAAAGCAGGAGGATCTCTGAGACCAGCCAGGACAGGCTCCAAAGCTACACAGAGAAACCCTGCCTCGAGAAACAAAATAACAACAACAACAACAAAAAAAAAAAACAAAAAAAAAAAAAAAAAAAAAAAACAAACAAACAAACTGGGTATAAGGTGTTACCAGTATCCCAGTACTTGGGAAGGAAGATAGAGTTTCAGGGTCATCTTCAGCTACCTAGTGAATTCAGGGCCAGACTACACTACATGAGAACCTACCTCCAAAAAAGAAAGAGAAATATCCCAAGTTATTAATCTTAGTTGGGTTAGAGTAACCTTATCCATATATCCATATATATGGAGGATGAGATATGTTGTGTGTACAGGAGCTAGCTACATAGACCAGTTTGGCCTTGAACTCAGAGATCTGCCTGCTTCTACCTCCCCAGTGCTGGTATTAAAGGTACAAAATACCATACCTGCTTTAAAAGCTTATTTGTTCGTAGGTGTGCTAGTAGTGATAAAAGCCTGGAACATACTGGATAGTGCTCTTTCACTGAGCTGTACCTCTAGGCCATTCACATCACCTTGGTCATATGGAAGGAACAACTGACCACTGGTACAAAATTTTAGTAAGGTTAAGGCTGAGTTGAAGGGGAGGGGCATGGAGACACAGGCCTATAATCTCAGCACTTTGGAGGTGAAACAGGAGGACAGCTTGGGCTAAAGAGTGAGACACTATTTCAAAACAAAACAAAAGGCTAAATGTGGCGGTACATGCCTGTAGTCCAAACACAGGGGCAGCAGAGGAAGAAGGATCAATGCATGTTTGAGGCCAGCCTGATCTATGGAGAAAGTTGTAGGCCAGCCACAGACCCCTTAAAAAAGGAAGAGTAACTACAGCTAGGTGTAGAACACTTGCCTGGTTTACACAAGGCCCAGTGCTCAAACTCCAGTCCTTCAGCAGATAAAATTTTAAAAAGAATTTGCAGCTGAGTGTGGTGATACCTATCTGTGATGCTAGCAGTTGGGCTGAGATAGAGCTGCCATATCGTCAAGGCCAGAAAAAGTACAGAACAAACGACAATAGAACAGAAAAATGTCGGCTAGGCGCTTGCATGGCCTGTTTGTCCCTGACCTTGATGGTGAAGCTGGGCCTCACGTGTTCATCCTTGTGTGTTTTTCTAGTCTGTCCTGCTGGCTGGAAGCCCGGCAGTGACACCATCAAGCCCAATGTGGATGACAGCAAGGAATACTTCTCCAAACACAACTAAGATGGCTAAACATCAGTGAGCCTGAATTCTTGGATCCTCCTCCTACCTGGATGTCCTGTGCTGGTCCAAAAAAGACTAGATCTTCCTCCATGTTCTGTGGAGGGGCTGGAGGTGGGCCAAGGCTTTCTCATTCCCCACCTGAAATCTGGTGAATAGTGACCCCCTGCCCTGAACCCACCCAGGTGGGCACAGGTCTATAGAAGGAAATCAATAAAGTATTAGGGACAGAGGAAGGCTGTGTTGTGCTGTCTAGCTGTTGATTCCAACTCCCATCTTTGCATGCTGGCTTGTGCAACTGGCTCTGAAATTACTCTCCTCACCACAAGGTGGCGGCAATACCACATTCACTGCTTAGTACTCAGATGGCCTGAGAGTGGAGGAACATATCTTTATTAATATAAATAAATAAATAATAGGGCTGGAGAGATGGTTTAACAATTAAGAGCACTTGTTGCTCTTGTGGAGGACCTGGGTTCATTCCCAGCACTTACATGGTGGCTCACAATCTTCCTTAACTCCAGTTCTAACATTGTCTTCTGAACCTCTGGTACAGGCGTATGCAGGAAGAACATACATACACACAAAGCAAGAACATCTCTTCAAATAAACAAAACAGCTATGGGCAGTTTACTTCTCCTGGGTCCTGTCTGTAGATCAGTACCCACATCTTGCCATCAGCCATAAAAATGCTATTTTAACTACTGTGATGTCCCTAGGTCTCATTGGATGGGAATAAAAAGCTCAGGTCACCATGTGAGTTCAAGTATGTGGAGTCTAGGCTCTGACCCATTCCTGTGTGATATTTCGGGTGAGAGTCAACAGTGGGAGTTGTTGAAAGAGTACTTGCTTCCTGAGGTCAAAGGGCAAGGACAGTTAGACTGAGATGGGTATTTCAGAAGTTACATTGAGTTGGATGTATGTCAGTGTCAGTAGCTTTGCCGTTCTGAGTTCCATATTCCACAAAACAGGGATGATCTGTGTCTTTATTTATGTTTTGACTATACTTCTTCAGCCTCAGCTGAGATTTACGCATATACCTTGGTGCTTTCATTTGTCAGCTCACATGTGGAAGGCCTCCCCCTTGGAATGTTTTTTCAGTCATGCTAGGGATGGAATCCAGGGCCTCTTGAATGACATGGACACACTGTACTGTAGAGCCCCATACTCAGCTATTCCCGGAATTTAATATATTCTCAAAGTTGCTGCTTGGGTCTCCCTTGAGTTCATCTACCCTACACTGATTCTTTACAGTTCAGGTACACTCTTCGGGTTCTTCAGATGATCTTGCTTTGGGTACAAGAACTAAGCCCCAGAATTTTACTCAGGGCCTCTACACTGCTGAGTCTGTTGCAAAGTTAACAAGTCCATTCTGTAGATGAGTCTGCCTCCCCTGCCCCAGCAGGCACACTTGGAGCTAATAATCCTCTTCCTAGCTCTCATCACTATATTCAAATCATGTTTGCTTTCACTTTTATTTTTTAATTTTATTGTTATTTTGATAAGAGTTTTCCTCGTAGCCCTGGCTGTCCTGGAACTCGCTCTGTTGGCCTAGAACTCAGAGATTTTCCTGCTTCCTGAGTGTTAGGATTTGCTGGCACTTTCGCTTAAAAAGTCTATTTGTGGTTTTGTGCATATGAGAGTACAATGCCTGTGGAGGCCAGAAGAGGGCATTGCATCCCCTGGAGCTCGAGTTTTAGGGGTTTGTAAGCCCCTTAATGTGAGCACAAAGAAGCAAACTTCCTTGCTCTAGAATAGCCCTGGCACATGTGCTTAAGTCTTGAGCCATCTCTCCAGCCCTTTTTTTTTTTTTCTTTTAAAATTATTCAACCATCCCCCCCCCCCGCGTGCACGCGCGCATGCGCGTGTGTTTTCTTCCTGGGTCCAGGGATCAGACTCAGGTGCTAAGACTTGGCTGCAAGCATCTTTACCTGCTGAGCCATCTCTCACCTCACCTACCCCTATCTGCTTTTTTTCCCCTTTCTTTCCTTTTTTTTTTTTTTTTTTTTTTTTTTTTTCCTATCTGTACTGTGGTCCAAGCTGTCACTGAGGGTTTTGTTTGGTTGGGGTCAGGTTCTTTCTTGTTGATTTTTTTTTGGGGGGGGGGAGTGGGTGAAAGGGTTTTTTTCTCTGTGTAGCCCTGGCAGTCCTGGAACTCACTCTGTAGACAAAGCTGGCCTTGAACTCAGAGATCACTGATCGCCTTGCTATGTAGAGTGCCTTGAGGCCCATCCACTTTATTACTTAATTATTCCTTGGCTCCGCCCGAGCAGTACGGCTTTCTTTGCCACGGGGTCCTCCAGCTTCAAGGCCAGCGAGATCCCACCAGCCACCAGCAGCTTTGAACTTGAGTCTCAGCCTCTGAGGAGCGGCCGGGCATGAAGGCGGTGGCGGCTCCCAGCGGCCCAAACAACTGCCCCGACAGGACCAGACCTGGCAGTCGCCAACTTCTGGCCTGGCACACGGGCGGCGACACTGGCGGGCGGGCGCCGCCCTTCCTGGCGGGAGTTGGCCCGACGGCGTCTGCACTACGCCGAGGCCGCAGTTCGGCTCCGCCAGGGTCAGGTTCGAGGGAAGGGGCGTGGGCGCGGCGGGTCTCGGGCGCCAGCCTGTTGAGAGCCGCTCGGGTGGCTCCCAGGGCCCAGGACAGCGTACCTCTCCCGCCGCGGGCGCCCTGGACCCGGGCCTGGGGCTTTCCGCGCCCAGACAGCCGCCCGCCCGGGAAAATCCCGGCCCCTTCCCGGCGCCGCGGCCCTGCCCGGCAGAGCTGGGGGAGGGGGTTCCCGGAATCTGCCCGGAGACCGCGCTGGCGTCACTGAGCAGAATAGGCCCATATATGGGCAGCGCTTCCGGCGCGTCAGCGGGGAAAGCCCCGGCGCGCTCGGCTGGGCGGGGCTGCTTACACATTCCGCGTTTGGTCCAGGGCGGCTTCTTCCCTGCCACGGCCCGCCCGCCCGCCCGCCCGCCCGGACTCGGGATGAGAGATCTGGATGCTGATACTGGACCTTAAGCTACCTGAAATGAGGGAGCTACAACGCAACCGACTGGAGGCAGCCCATTCTTCTCCCCCCACCCCCCCCCGACTTGGAAGAAAAAAAAGACCACAAAAATTAATAAAGACATTTTTTTTACTTAAATAGATTCAATAAAAAGTCAAACACACACACACAAACACATCTTAAAATAGACTCTTAGACACGAAGTGCGTGTTTCTTCTCCACAGTACTGTGCAGAGGGGGAGGGCAGGGGGCGGAGGTCCCTCCCTAGTGTCCCGGCAGGCTGAGTACCAGGCGGCGGGGCCAGCTCCGCCGCGATAGCCCCCTCCTCCCTCCCTGTTAAATACACAAATATATTATATTCAATATGAATCCGGTCTCTTCCCAGAAAAAAAAACAACAACATACAAAATACGCTGGAAGGGGGGCCATGTAAACGTCGAGGTGGAAGGACTGGGCGCGGGCGAGCGAGCCAGAGTCCAGTGTGTGTGCGGCGCTCCAGACCTCTGGGCCGGTGCCCATCGCCTGCCCCCCTCACCCCAGTGGGGGGCGGGCGCCCAGCCTCGCAGGCTGGGGGTGTCCGTGTGGAGCGAGCGAGGGCGGCGCTCAGAAGGCGTGTCCTTTGACCCCTAGCAGCAGCTGGCAGCCGTTGCTGACGTGGGTCATGACCTTCTGCTTGAGCTGGGCCACTTGCTCCCGTAGGAGGCCGGCAGTACTCGACAGCCCCGCGTTCTCAGCCTTGAGTGTCTTCACCTTGTCCTCCAGGCGCGCGATGCGCTCCAGCTTCCGCTTCCGGCACTTGGTGGCCGCCAGCCTGTTCCGCAGCCGCTTACGCTCCACTTTGATGCGCTCCTGGTCTTCCATGTTGATAGGGGACACCGGTGGCGTGGCGTCGCGGCTGCGTGCCTCTGGTACGGTCTGCGGTTCCTCTTTAAAGGCGGAGGCGCCGCGACCCAAGCCCAGCTGCGCCGGGTGACCGCCCGCAAAGGGTGGTGCATGTGGGAGGTAGCTGATGGTGGCCGTCGGGTACGAGCTCCCAGTCCCGACAGCGGCCCCGGCGCCCCCAGAGGACGCAGAGGCTGGGGAATAACTGCTGAGGTTGGTGTAGACGGGAGGCGGCTCCGGCCCCGCGTAGACGCCCCCTGGCCCGGCCTGGGGACCCCCGCTGGCGCCCAGGGACACGTTGGGGGGCGTCACGTGGTTCATCTTGTGCAGGTCGTCCAGGGCTTTGACAAAGCCGTCCGCGAAGCCCTCCTGCTCCTCGGTGACGCCGCCCCCTGTACCTCCACTGCTGCCACCCCCACGGGGGTAAAAGTACTGTCCCGGAGGCGTGGGCGTCGTCGTGATCACGCCGTTGCTGTTGGGGACGATCAAACGCTCCAGTTCCGTGGAGGCGAGCTTCAGAGATGCGCCTGTGTCTGATCCCTGACCCGAAAAGTAGCTGCCTGCCCCACTGCCCTCTGGGCCTGGGCCGCGCGCTCCAGGGCCCTTGAGACCCCGATAGGGATCCGCCGCCAGGTTGAGTGCCAAGGTGGGTTTCAGGAGTTTGTAGTCGTGTAGAGACAGGCTGCCAGGGGTCCGACCGTATCCCGCCGGTGCGTATGAGTCGTCGTGATAGAAAGGCTGTTCCATTTTCGTGCACATCCGGGCGGTCTGGGAAAGGTCCCCCTGAAGGGCCGCCCCGGGCCTCGCTGCTGCGAGCGGCGAGCTGTCCTCGGCTGCGGCGGGACCCGGTGTCCGGTCGCGCGTCCTCCGGAACCGGAGACGGTCGGCGGCGGCCAGTTGGCAGCTGTGCGTAAAAGCGTTGCCGGGCTCCTAGACCTCGTCTCTCTTTCCGTGGTGCGCCCGCTTCCTCGGTGTTGCTTCCTTCAGTTCCCCGCTGCCTTCACGATCCAAAGCTGGCCCGGCCACCCTCAAGGTCCCCAACGCGCTGCCCCAGCCCCAAGCTTTTATACCGAGTTTGTCAGCTGCGGAAGTGCGCTCTGATTGGCCAACACGGGAGCCGGGCCCCCGCGGCCCCCTCCTAGAGCGTGGGGAAGGGGAGGAGGCGGCTCGCGTCACTGTCAGGAAGCGCGTGTCCTTGTAAACAGCGGCCACGAGCCGGGTGGCTCTGCGCGGCTGCAGGGGGAGGGGCTGCAGGGAAGGAGACACTGAAGCAAAGGGATGTTGAGGCATCTGAGGCACACGGGTTAGGACTGCAGGAGTACACCTCGGTGAATATGAAAGCTTGGCACACAGCAAGTGGGGGAGAGGGTGCCTTGGAAAAGTATGGAAAGACCCAGAGTACCCGTAGTTGAGAACTGACAATATACTACAAGATCCCAGCAAGCAGGAAAGGGACAAATCGGGAGGATTTAACATTTGACTCAGGGATTTAACTGGAGGTCCCAGATACAAACGGCTTGAAGGACTGGAATTGTCACAGGTGGGAGGAAGGGGTACCTATTGTGCAAGAAATGAGTAGGGGTTCTAGAGACCATAGATGAGTCTGAAAATTAGCCTATAAGTGGAAATGGGAAGGAATTGTGGGGAGGGCAAAGCAAATATGCAAATGTGAGCAAGGGTCCTGGGTACACTGAGGTAATAGAACAGTTGGAGGATGGGAACATATCTACCAGAGGTTGGGGGTCACTGTGGCCACTTGAAGAATTCTGATGGAGAGTTAGAAAGGTCAGGGCACGGCTTCCGAGATTTAAGGGCGATGACAGTAGGGTATCTGAGATCTGCCTGAGAAGGTGAGTTGAAGGATCCCAGAGACAAGGGTCTTTTGCAAATGGGGCTGTACCACGTGGGTGGTCCTTAGGCACCTGCATACCCTGTACCCTGAGCCCAAAGCCCTCCCTTAGTCACTCTGGGCTCGCCCGATACCCTGTCAGCTCTTGGAGAGCCGATGGGACGGGATAGCTGGGGCGCGGTCGCCCAGCCTCACTCCTTCCTTAGAAACAGGCTAGGGAAAGAGAACCGAGGCAGGAAGTGTGGCAACAGCCCCGAGGGGGAAAAGAGCCCGGCCCTGTCTCGTCATTCTGAGCCTACAGGACGGTGCGCCCTGCCCTGGGCCCTGCCAAATTCTGCTCCTGGGAAGAGGAACCCGGGCAAGCGACCCCCGAGGAAGTCACAGCCCAGCTACAAACGCCTCGAGTCACTGCTCTCACCCATCTAGTAATGGTTCAGCCTGCAGCCTCCGGCGACTACTAAGCCTGGCAGCCCGAGGACTGTTCCATTGACCCACGGGGGGGGGGATGCAGCCTGGGAACGGGGCCTGATCACCAAGGCAACAGGCCGGAGTCCGCGAATTGGATTGTGGGCGGGGCAACCCCCCTGAATTTCTCCCCAGCATCCATATTAGGGCACAGGAAGAGGTGGGACCAGTACAGTCTTGGGGCGGAGAACTAGGAGTCAGGAACCCAGGGCAGCAGCCAGGTCCCAGGGCGCGCCCGGGCCCCCAGACGGCTAGTCCGGACCAGCCTCGACTGCCACCCCCGGGGGCCCCCGGCGGCCTGGCCCAGCCCTGCGGAACAGCTCTGGGGCTGAGTCCTGTCCCGCCCGGCTGGGTCGGACCCAGCCTGGCAGGTTCCCGCCTGCCCGCGGGCCTGGGTCGGACTTTGCCCCCGGCCCGTCAGGGCGCGGAGGGGGCGGGATGATGCCTTCAGGCATCCCCGGCGCCTGGGCAGGCTGGTACAGGGCTGCCTCCTCCCCTGGGTATGTGCCCTTCCCTTCTGCCAGGACTAGGGTCCCCTTTAGCCACCTCATCTTTGAAGTCTGGATACTTCTCTCACCGTCTCCCATTTCAGCTTGGGGGTGAGTGAGGTACCTTCAACTACACAGTTCCTAAAAAGAGGTCGCCCCCCCCCTTACTAAGACGTTTCCCTCATCTGAGGACCTTCTTTGCACTCAAGTCAGAAGGCGAAAATCTCAAAGGGAGAAAATGGAAGAACTCAGCTCCCCTGCTCCAGGAAGGGCAAGGAAGAGGTCTAAATAGCAAGGTTTCCAGTTAGACAGGTGGAACTTCCAAGTAGTGTTGGAGCCGCCAGAGGAAGGGGTGAGAGTACCATCTCTTCCTCTTTCCCAGGCTCAGGTCTTTGGTAAGACAGGCTTCTTTAAGGAGAAGCTTACAGACGGGGCAAACGTAGTAGACTCGGAGCTCACCTAGTGTGGGACAGAAGGAAATTGAAAGAAACCAAAGAGAAACAGCTGTGAAGGGAGGCAGGGGGAAGTCCAGCAGCGTAGGGACATTAGAGAAGAAGGAGCTGGGGACATCCCAGTCTTTGAAGGACCCTTATGACCCTTCTGTGCTCCCTCCCATCTTGTGCCCTTGCTTGAACAGCTCCCCTCCCCCATCACAGTCTCAAGGGAGATTCCAGAAGCCGCTGAGTCTGCGGGCATGCTGCCAGGCCTGTGTCTCCTGCCCATGCTAATAACTGCAGCTGACATGTGGCCTGGCCTGAGGGGGTGCTGGCCACAAGCGTTTGGGGGCAGGGCAGGATGGAGGGCAACATGTTGGGAAGCCAACCTGCCTGTCCCACTGGCCAGGAGGCCACACTGACTCACCCTTGCCACAGCTGAAGCTGGCTAGGCCAAAGGGAAGTCCTGGAGAGAGGCCAGGTCTGCCCAAAGAGGGTCGAAAGGGAAGACAAGAGTGGGTGGCTGGGGGCAAAGAGGCAGGCCAAGGGGAGACACCCAGAGAGACAGATGGGGCCAGGTTAGTCTTCTGCAGACATGGAGACTGGGAGATACTTAAGACAGGCAGACAGACTGTCTGAGAAATAGTAATTATTATTTTAATAGCTAACACTTAGATGGTTCTTACCCTGGACCAGACACTGTTCTAAAGTGGCTTACATAAAGTTGGTCATTGGCTACTTCCAATGATCCAGGCAATTGCATGCTGTGTGAATTTCCACTTAACATATGAGAAACTGAGGCACGGGGAATGAAGGGCCTTTAATAATGTCTTAGAGCTAGGAGGACTAGAATGAGTTTAGTCTGTATGGAACAAGAGCTCGCTCCCTCCTGAACCCTGCTATGCTGTAGATGGGCATTTATGGAGAACCAACAGCATACAAAGCTCTAGAGGGCCTATCTTTTTTTCCTCACTTGGAGAAGCAGAGTTGAGCACAGAAAGGTGAAATTCAGAGTGGGGTCTTCTTCACACTTTCTGTATGGGTGTTTGAGCAGGGGGTGGGGAAGAGGCCAACCAGGGAGGGCAGGGCCGGCCAAGCTGGTACAGCCGGTTCCAGGCCCCGACCATTCTCACTCTTTGTGGCCTGGGCACCACCTCCTCAGGTCGCCTTGCTGGCGCCAGGCCTGCCCAGTGTGGAGGGTGTGAAGATAGCCCCCTCCCCTACACTACCTGGGCTACAGATCCGCACCAGGCTGGCCTTTCCTTGCCAGGTTTCCCCATATCCCAGGGCCTGGGCCCAGGGGCTACTTACCACTCAGGATAAGGAGGAAGTTCACCCCCACCCACCCATAGTCTCTCTGGGGCTTTTGGCCTTGGCACCAGGGACTTCTCCTTCTTATAAATAGTTTGGTGACCATTCTCCTCCCTGGCCCCACTGACCGATGCCAGGGTTGCCACCAGGAAACTGGGCTGGGGGCTGCCTGTGAGTCAGCCAGTGGGCAGGCTGGGGCGGGAACCCGCAAGTCAAAGCACCCAGTCTCCTGTCCCTGCCCCTGGGTGTGGACTGGTGGCTGGGCCAGAAGAAACTAAGAATCAATCCCAGAGGTCTTCACCTTGGAAGCCCCAGCCTGCCAGCCACCTCCCTCCCCTATTTCTGCGGTTTTAGGGGTCCAATGCCCCTGATCTGGAGAGGAAGTTGCTTCGTTTTCTTGGAAACAGGCTGTCTCCTCACACTGATTCAGCTGGGCCCAGAGGGAGTTTCCCACACAGCTGCCAAAGACTTGGGGGTCTGAGCTCCAAGGTGTCCCCTTTAAGAGAGATAGCAGTAGAAAACAACCCATCCTGCCCATCAGGGGAAGCAGCCAGAGAACAGCAGGCAGGGAGGGCAATGTTGGCAGAGGAAGTGCCAACATCTCTGGGCCCTATAGAACCTCAGCAAAGGGTGTATGGGGGGGTGGTGTGCAAGTGTGGTTGGCTTGTTAGGGCCTGTGTGAGTGCATGAGGCCTGCTCAGGGCTTCCGTCTACATGTTGGTCCAAACCTGCAGGGGGTGTGGGCCTATCTGTGAGAGTTCAGTTCTGTTTTGTGTGGATAGGGTGAGGTGTGTGTGTGTGTTCTACTGGATGGCCATATATGGCTCAATTCTAGGCATACATATAGCTAACATATTTGTATCTGATTTGTGTATGCAAGGTACATGTTTTGCCTTACATGTGTGAAATGTCTGGATGTTTCTATACAGTATATGACTAGTCTCTGTGTTTATATGTATGGCCTGCAACCCCCCCCCCACACACACACACGAAGACCAGCCATGGCTATACATATATTCCAAACATAAACAGGGGCAGGGGGTAGAGGGGGTATATTTTATGTCTGGTTTTTGTGGTTCTATGTGTGCCTATGAGAGAGAGAAGCCTAGGTGGTCTGTATGCTTTGTGTGTCTCTGTGTGCTATGTGGCCTGTGGCTGGCTGTGTGTGTACTGAGAGAGCATGAGCCCTGTGTGGTTCATGAGCAGTCTGTGAGTGTTACTAGCCATAGCTTCTGTCAGGGTGTCTCCATGCTCATGTGCTCTGGACTGTGGCTCGTTTCTGCCTCTCTGCACTAGATATTATGTCTGTCCAGATTGCATCTGAGAATGTGACTATCTGTATCCTCTTGTTCAAATTGGTCTGACTATAGATGGCCATGGTGGCACAGGTCTTTTTTGTTTTTTCGAGGCAGGGTTTCTCTGTATTGCTTGGAACATGTCCCAGCACTCATTTTGTAGACCAGGCTGGCCTCGAACTCAGAGAGATCCATCTGCCTCTGCCTCCCGAGGACTGAGATTAAAAGCATGTGCCACCAACACCTAGCCTTTTTTTTTTTTTTTTTTTTTTTTTTTTTTGGCACAGATCTTTAATCCTAGCACTCACACTCAGATGTCAGAGGCAGGTGAATCCCTGTGAGTTCTAGGTCAGCTGGGTCTACAAATTGAATTCCAGGCTAACAAGGGCTACACAGTAAGAACCTGTCTCAAAAAATCAAAAAACAAAACCTCAAGGCGACTGTGTATAAGTCTTCATCTTCAAATGTATGTGCCACAATTATATTGGTAAGTGCCTGGGGCACTCTGACATGGTATGTAGGTGACTGTGACTCCTCTGCACATCTGCCTATAGATGCATGTTTGTCTCTCCTGTTTTTGTACAGTAATAATATTGCTTGTGCATGTGGCCTAGAGGCTCTCAGTTTGCTTCTGTCCTTTCTGGGACTGTCAAACCACAAATGTGCACTTCTGTGTGCTGACATCTAGCCTATGTGCAAAGCTGGTTTATCTGGGTCACACCTATCCTGAATTTGAGCTTTGTTTGAAGTTCTGGGGATTCGATCCACTGCTCCTCAAGCTTACTGGACCACTGAGATCCATCCCCAGCCCTTCTGAGTCCTTTTGACCTGTGGTTGCTTTGTGTATGCTCTCGCTGCCCTCTACCACAGAGTATCTCCAGAGTCCTTGTTTTTTTTTTTCTTGATTGTCACTGTTGGCCACTGCTGGGTGTCTTAACCAGATAGATGTCTGCTTCCTTGTCTATGTGCCCCTGACTAGGTAGATGTCTTGTGGCCCGAATCATAGAGATTTGTTCCTCTGGACTTGCTCTCTCTGGGTGACCCTGTATTTGTGTACAGTCTTGCAGAGCATCCCCCACTTCACCCCCCTCCCCCGCAGTCTGGCCACTCTGGGCCATGTTTATTTTGCCCCCAGCCTATGTCTGCCCTGCCCTGGGAGGGGCTGACCCTCTTGTCTGTCCAGCTAGTCGTCCACAGGATGTTCCCTAGACGTTGTTTCCGGCCACCCGCAGGTCAGGACCCAGGAGTCCAGGGTGGCGGGGGTGGGGCATTATCGTGAGTGGGGGGGTCCTTGTCAGGGCATGAGAATGAGGGTGGGGGGCGGGGAAGGGACTAGCCCAACAGGTTCCGCCTCATTCCTGCCCCGCCTCTCACTTCCTGGGTGCCAGCCCAGGGCTGGGGTGGACAGAATGAACCCCATGGCCTTAGAGTGCGTGGGTGGGGCATGGAGTGTTCTACTGGGCAGCTGGACACCCAGGTCTGAAACACCTCCCTACCTCCATGTCCAGCCCTGAATTCAGAGCGTCCCATCTATTATTCATCTAATCAGCACAACACCTCAACGAGCTGAACATAATTTTCAGATGGGGAAACAAGTGCGGAAAGAGAGTGGATTTGAACTGAACCGAACTCTGTACGCATTTGCTGTTTCAGAAGACCCAAAGCCAGCTACGCAGCCCCTTTTTCTTCTAAGCAGGGTGTTTGTGGGGTACAGTAGGAGCCCCAGTCCCCACGAGGCCAAATTTTCAAGGGGGTACCCGCTTGCTCTGAGTCAAAAAAGCCCCTGAATGAAATGAATAAGAAAACGATTTTAACCGTTTCATTGCCAAGATAGGCTCTGCCAAAACTTCCTGTGGGCTGGTGGGCGGGGGCACTGGGTTCCCGGAGCCAGGCCGGGGGAGGCTCTGTTAATTCAGGGATGGGGGAAGTGCCCCAATGACTTTCGAAATGGTCAGTGAAAAGGGATGCCCACCTGGCCTCCTGTCCACCGAAGGGTAACCCCTCACTCGAGGTCTTCAGAACTTGATTCCTAGCCCTGGATGCCTTGGAGGGGTGGTCCCAAAGTCCCTTCCCCAGGGGCCTGAGTCATACACAGGGAAAGCCGCGAGGCGTGAGTCACCCAGGCAGAGCAAGGGGAGTGAGGCCGAGTGCGGCCTGGGGACCCCAGGGCTGGCTTGAGTCACGCACACCCTGACCCTACTGACCCCCAGCCCTGCGGTGCAGAGATCAGGAGCGGGAAGCCAGCACATGGTCGGAGGGAGGAAGGGCAGAGCCTGAGGAAGCAAGCTCCCGGCTGATCCAGGAAGCTGTTTCCATGGCAACGGAGGTTGTCTCCGCTTTCTGGAGGAAGGTCTTCCCAGCAGGGACTGCCCCGCCCAGCGAGCTGGGGAAGCCCCCGTTCGTTTGGCCCTGGGGCCCCGAGTTTCAGGTCGGGCAGGAAGGGGTTAACGGCAGTTCCCCCTCCTCGGAGTTTCACCTGCGCTCCAGAGTCTCTGGTTCCGCAGAACTGGGCCCCGCGCGCTCCCGCAGCTACCCCCGCGCTCTCAAGCACGCGTACAGACACCCCACCCCCGGCTTGTACTCGCACGCACGAACGCGTCGGGCTCCACGCACACAGCGAACTCCGTCGTGTCTCACGTCACGAACGACGCAAGCGCCCCCGCAGTGCGGGGTGGTGTCCTCCCAGAGGGAGAGTTGCGGATAGCGACAGTGGTGCGCATGTCCTGCCTCCACTGAGTTGGCTGTCTTGTGTGACTTTGACACCCTCATCCACACACAAGGACACAAACAACTCTGTCACACGGGCACAGAATACACCTGACACACTAGCAGGAACTCTGCTTAGGCAGCTCCGCGAGTACAGAGAATCACAGTCACACAGGGACTTACACCCAGAAGCAGTTTCTCAGCACACCAGCCATATAAACATAACCATATGCAGACACAAAAGTCTATATATGCTATATCATCGAGGCAATGTATAACAGCCTCTGTCACCTGTGATTTGGACTGTCCCACAAGTACCTCTCACATGGAAATTATGGTTGAAACACATGGTAGAGACAGCCATGTCATCACAGAGTTACCACAGGCGACACATACAGATACTTTGATTGTTTAAAGGGGTATGATAAACCAGGACCCATGGTAAGGGCACATTTTCACAGAAAAACAAGCTGGAAACAAGTAGAGTGTCTAATAAAATAATCCCATTTCTCAGAAACATGGGATCTGCTAAACTGAGGAACAGGCAGTAGGGCATGGTTATAGATGTAGATCCTAATACCAATCTGAGGCACCAATTATCACAATTTCTTATACAAAGAATAACACTGACACTGACCCAAAAGAAGGATCATCCTCAGAAGCTGTAGTTTGCAGACACAAGAAAAGAAAAAACAGTCTCCTAGACACTGTTTGAACTATGCAGAGAAACACAAGGGGGTGTGAATGAGGCTCCCTGGTACCCCTAAACCGGAATTTTTGTTTGTTTAGAGACAGGTTCTCACTCTGTATCCCTGAAACTTGTTAACTAGGGCAGTTTAACCTTGGACTCAGAGATCCATCCGCCTTTGCCTTCCCTGTGTTGTGGATTAAAGGTGTATGCCACCAAGACATGCTAACCATATTTTTGGTTTGTTGTTTCTGAGGCAGGGTCTTACTATGTAGACTAGGCTGAGCTTGAACTCATGAGTGATGGGATTAAAGGTGATGACCAAGCTGACCTGTGCTTACTGTGTTTGAGACTGTGTCTTAGGATGTTCAGACTCACCTCCCAACTCATCTTGAACTTGCTGATCCTTTTGCCTGCTCTTCCCAGGTGCAAATTTTACAGGTATGTGCCACCACTCCTAGCTTTTTTTCAAGCTTCTTTTTTAGATTCTTTTAAAAATCCTTATGAGTGTTGACCTACAGGCATGTATATGCACCAAGTATGTGCCTAAGTATGTCAAATCTCCTGGTACTGAAGTTATAACTGGTTGTGAGCCACATGAACCAAACTGGGCCCTCAGCAGGCACAAGTTATCATCCCCTGAGCCATCTCTCCCGCCCCTACACCCATCTTCTAAACTGGTGTATTATGCACAGATTGATGCCCTGCACTTCCCAACAGCCATCAAATACACACACACACACACACACACACACACACACACACACACACACACTCAGTTGTACAAACTCCAGGGTCCCAAGACACAAATGGAGGCTAACCCAATCATAAGCCACCACCTCATACCTACGAAGATATAAGCACATTTCCCTTGACTTAGGAACAAAATGGTGGGTGGGAGCAGGACAAGAGCTCCTACAGAACTAAAGTAACTGAGTGCAGAAAGACTATGTTTCCATGGTAATTGTACATGGAATTCAGGGTGGGGGTGGGGAAGTGGTGTCCTCTGGTTGTGGAATTCAGGGTCTCCATCCTAGCTGTGGTGACTGGATCAAAGTCCAGATGTGCAGGCTGAATGGGATGGGCTGGGGTCCAGCTGTGGCCTTAGGGAGGGGTTGAGTCACTCATTTCCCAGCATTACAACCCAGGCTTGGCCCAGCTGTCCCTGGAAACAAGTAGGAGGAGGTGGGATCCCCAAACCAGCCAGAGTTACTGATCCAAACTTGCAGAGCGGGGCCTCTTGGTTCCAACAAACAGAGACCTTTGGATCTCAGCAAACTTTGAGGTTCACTACATTTAAAATTTACTGGCATCCTTCTAAATATGAGGTCAGTCCCAAGGGAAAGGTTTGTGGCTCTTTTTGCAGAATTAAAGATACTTAAATCCACACCATGGCTCCTTGGTTTTCTCGGCTGCCAACATCACAGCCTCCTCTTCTTCCCCCTAAAAGCTGGGACTCCCTGCTGACCCAAGGGGAAGGTTATAGCTCCTTCCCCAGCAGAGAGTGAAGTAACTTTATTTATTTATTTGGTTATGTATCTACTTATTTATTTTGAGATAGGGTCTCTCTGTGTGGCCCTTGCTGTCATGGGCCTTGCTATGTAGTAAATCACTTACCTCTGCCTCCAGAGTGCTGGAACTAAAGGTAGGTGCCATCCCACTCAGCTCCTGTTTCTTCCAGACAGGGTTTCTGTGTGTAGCCTTTGCTGTCCTGGAACTCTGTCTGTAGACCAGGCTACCCTCGAACTTAGAGACCCACCTGCCTCTGCCTCCCTAGCTTTACTTAAGTCTTGACTTCCTGATATCGTGGATGCCCATAACATCACTAAGTCACCCTCCCAGCTGGTTGGTGGAGATGCACACCTTTAATCCCAGCACTCAGGAGGCAGAGGCAGGCAAATCCCTGTGAATTAGAGGCCAGCCTGGTCTACAGAGTAGATCCAGGACAGCTAGGACTGTTACAAAAAGAAACCCTGTCTTGAAAAACAAACAAAAGAATAAAAAAGCCAAAAAATAAACAATAAGTCACCTTTCCATACACAAATACCTGGATTCTCATATTTCTTCTAAACTTCAGAATCACTGCAGCACCTCACCCTAAATTTTAGATGTTCCAAATGATAGCTACACCTTCTTGTAATCGTCATGGTTCTTGGCAGTGTGTGTGTGTGTGTGTGTGTGTGTGTGTGTGTGTGTGTGTGTGTGTAGGATAGCTTTGTTTCTGCTTTGGGGTCTTAACTTCTCTGATGGATATGGGATGGTGAAGCCAGCAGCAGCTCCTATGTCCACGGGAAGCCAGTCCAGTCCCAAAGCACATTCCCTCTATCCCTCTCCAGGTGTGAAGAAGAGGTTGTGGAAGTGTGAATCAGCTTCCAAGCTCTCTGGTGTGTGCCACTGAGAGTTTGAGTGGGTTGCAATCGAGTGCCTGTGGTAGACTGACAACTCTTTTGTAAGATTGAGGGAGGGAGACTGAAGTCACTGAGCTCAACCCACTGGGACAGGGTCGCTGGCTTAACATCTCCTCCCCCCCCCCCCCCCGCCCCCACTCCTCCCCCCGCCCGCCCTGAACCCACCCCAAAGCAGAGCCGGCTCCTCCCTCTGGGCACCTCTAATAGCCTCTAATTACAGCATATTACCCCACCCACCTGCGGGGAGGGGGGGGAGGGATAGGCTGTCAGTGACCCAGGGGTCAAAGGGCGCGGTCTGGGTCTGGGTCTTCACCCCAGGCGTCAAAGCCGGTGAACTTGTAGCCATATTTTACTCACCTGCAAAACGTGGGGTTTGAAATTTTTAAAAATAAGTTTCTAAAATTAAGAAAACAGAAAACGGGTAATTAAAGTAGCCCTTGACCCTTAGGGTCATGAAGGACATTCGATTGTCTGTGAATATATAATGTAAAATTGCAAATAGTAAGCACTTCACAATGATGTCTTGAGACTACTGTCAGCAATTGATTTCTTTTGAGCCCTCTGCAATCATCTAAGCGTGCTCAACCGGTGGACGCACCTTTTTCCCTGAAGGTTTACCAGCGGTTTGCGCGCCCCCTGGTGGGCTTCAAACGACCCACAGTTTTGGCCTAACCAAGTATTTTAAGCCAAGATTCTCGAAGCACCGGCGGTCGGGAAGGAGCTGGTAGCTCAATGGAAGGGGACTCCAGGCTGGGCCAGTGCGTATGTCCTTCCATCAGGATTTGTGCCTGCTTGGCCCTTCCTGCTCCCGACCACACCCGTTTCTTCTTGAAGCACTCCAGAGTCACTTCTCCGGGGAAGACTCTTTTATTAATATCTCTCCGCCATTATAAAAAAAGGCTCGGATCATAAGGCGCCTAAACGGGAAGATTTCTTCCAGCTTCAGGAACAGAACATGAATGTGCCTGAGAAATTCAGTGCGGTAAATCCGCCTCAGAAAGAGGCCACGAGGAGCCGAGGCCACCACTCTCCCATCCGCACGGCTGGGCCAAACTGACACCTAGCGGCCGAATCTGTGCTCGCCTAACGCCCCGCATCCAAGATGGCGAGGGGGCGGGAAGAGAGGCAAGCGCCAGCGTTTGGAGGAGATCACGTGTCTGGGGCGGAGCCTTGCTTAGGGGGCGGGGTGGAGCGGGGCGGCGCTCTAGGCCGAGCGGGAGGTCTGGGCTTCGGGCGCTCGCTGGTGGCGGACCTGGAGGCTGCTGCTGCGCGCCGGGGCTCCTTGGCCCGGATCGAATTCGATCCGGAGCCATGAGTATGGACAAGGCCGAGCTATGCGGGTCTCTGCTCACCTGGGTAGGTCTGGGGGGCGGGGCTGGGTCAGGTGTGTGCCCTCTCTTCTCGCCCTATCTTGGTCTTTTCTCCTCTGTCTTGGGGCTGGAAGGAGGAATAGGTCATAGACTTGCCGGGCCGTTGGACTCTGACCTGACCACCTGCTTCTGTCACGTGGGCAGGCCTGAGAGGCAAGAACAGGTGAGGTCCCGCCCCTCTGGGGGCACAGGCCTGGTCACATGCTAGCTGTAGGGACCAGGTGACTCGTGGTAACGCCCTGACTTAGGCTTGCAGGGTTTGTCAGGCTTGGTGAAGTGAGGCCACGCCCCCTCCTGCCCAGGTGTGTAGAAGCCACGCCCCCGCAGAGTTGATATGGTGAAACTACAGGCCCAGTGCCCTCTAACTCTGTGAGGTGTCTTGATGGCTGGGGCAAAGTCTACAAAGAAGTGTTCCAGATCTTGAATTTTCCTATTGCCCCTTCTGGCCCCCTTTAGTTGCAGACGTTCCAAGTTCCACCCCCCTGTGCCAGCCCCCAGGACCTGAGCAACGGACTCGCCATAGCCTATGTGCTGAATCAGATGTGAGTGGGGGCTGAGTGGGAGGATCCCTAAGGGCTCCCCAGCCAGCTCATCCCACCTTCCCTCCTCTAGAGACCCTTCCTGGTTCAACGAGGCATGGCTCCAGGGAATCTCAGAGGACCCAAGTCCCAGCTGGAAGCTGAAGGTGACACTCGGACTCATGACTAGGGCATAACTAGAGGATGGACTTAAGAGGTGATCGTAAAGGGACAGCTAGGCACATGTCCTGCATAATGGATGGGCAGACCTGCCAGGGAAAGGACCAGATGTCTGGTGATCAACAAGCTATTTTTGTTCTTTATATTGAGTACCTACCATAAGACAAAAACTTGCCATCATTCTTGTGATGTGGGCAAAAAGCACATACAACAAACAGTTGGTAGCTTCCAAGAGGTATGGTGGCAAATGCCTATTAATCAGCCTGGGCAAATTATTAAGATCCTGTCTCAAAACTTTAAGGTGGCCAGGCAGGAATGTGCTCGGCAGTAGAGAATTTTCTCACCCTATACAAGGTCCTGAGTTCTGGTCCAGCCATGGTGGCACACACCTTTAGTCCCAGCACTCAGGAAGAAGCAGGTGGATCTCTGTGAGTTCGAGACCAGCCTGGTCTACAAGAGCTAGTTCCAGGACAGCCTCCAAAACCACAGAGAAACCCTGTCTTGAAAAACCAATAATAATAATAATAAGGTCCTGAGTTCCATCTCTAGTAGTAGGGGGTGTAGTGGGGGTGATAGCCTGGCCAAGTGGTGCACAGAGGATCCCAGGACTTAGGAAATCAAGTTCAATCTTGGTGGCTGCACAGCAAGTCAGAGGCCATTCTGAGCCACAAGAGATGCTGTTTCAAAAAAACAAAACTGGGCTGTAGGATTCTGGGACTTGTGAATAAATATGGTCAGGCAGACACTGAGTACAGGCAATGCAGATCAGCCCAGGGGAAGAATGTTTAAGACAGGACCACACATCAAGGGGATAAGCAGGGAGAGAAAATTCGTGGGGGGTAGGAATATCAAGAATGAATGCTGCTCTTGTAGAGGATCTGAGTTCAATTCCCAGCACAGATACCAGGCAGCTTTGAACCACTTGTAAGTCTGACCCCAAGGGATCTGACACTTCTGGCCTCTGCAGGCAGGTGCACACACAGACACACAATAATTTAAAAAATAAATCTTAACAATGGCAACAACAGAAAACAGTGGGGCAGTGGTGGCCGATGCCTTTAGTCCCAGGGCTTGGGAGACAGAGGTAGGCAGATCTCTGTGAGTTCTAGGCCAGCCTGGTCTACAGAGTGAACTTCAGGACATCCAGAGAGACACAGAGAGAAAACCATCTCAAAAAAAAAAAAAAAAAAAAAAAAAAAGTAGGAGGTGTTTGTTGCTTTCTTGAGATGGGCTTATCTCCATGGAGACTTGGGATGATGGCCTTAGTGAGGAATAGTGAAGAAAATGGAATAGATCAAGAACTGAAGGACCTAAGGCCACCAAGGGCCTAGCAGGCCAGGGAGGCAGAGCAGATCCTCCCCCACCCCTGTCCCCTTTGGCTTCTTGAGACAAGATTTCTTTGTGTAGCCCTGGCTGTCTTGGAACTTGCTCTGTAGACCAGGTTAGCCTCAAATTAAGAAATCCTCCTGCCTCTGCCTCCCAAATGCATGCGATTAAAGGCAAAGGCCACCACCATGCCTGGCAAGGATCTATTTTAAGTACTATGGAAAGGCAGGGAATAGTTTTAGCAAAAGAAAGACACAGCTTGGCTCAGCCATTCAGAAGCTCCCCCTAGCTGCTTGTGGAGGAATGAAGAGTACACAGCAAGACTCCATGAAGGGTTGGGAATGCAGTTTAGTGAGCAACAGTTTGCCTAGAATCTAGCAATGAGAGGCAGGAAGCATGGCTCAGTCTACCATACCTAAGACCCAGGGTTTAATCACCAGAACTCCTACCCCCATCCCAACCTCCACACCAAAAAGCAGGGAGATGAGAAGCAGCGAGTAGGGTATAGGCATCCAAGTGAGAAATGACAGTAGTGCCAGATAGCAAGAAGCCATTGGATTCTGGGACTTGTGAATAAATATGGTCAGGCAGACACTGAGTACAGGCAATGCAGATCAGCCCAGAGGAAGAATGTTTAAGACAGGACCACACATCAAGGGGATAAGCAGGGAGAGAAAATTGGTGGGGGGTAGTGAGGATAGATTTGGGGGCATTACTGTAGACCTCCATGCATAGATAACTCCTTGGCCTCACCAGGTCAAGAAACTGGAGAAGATCTTACAGAGCTTGATGGAATACTCAAAGGATGTAAGTAACTGCAAAGGGATTTAGGGGGCTGGGTTGGGAGACAGTGCCATGTGTGACCCTGAGATCTCCTTCTCTCTGTATTCTCAGGTCCTGGGACATCCTTTATCGGAACAGCATCTTCCAGATGTGAGCCTCATTGGCGAGCTCTCAGATCCTGCAGAGCTCGGCAAACTGCTTCAGTTGGTACTGGGCTGTGCTATCAGTTGTGAGAAAAAACAGGGTATGAGGAGGGCTAGAGGGAGGAAGTCAGAGAGCTGTCAGAGGACCCCTGGGGAAATGCTGTGTCCTCTCTAACCCATCACTGGTCTCAGCCTCTCGCCTCCATCTTCACCCCCAGAGTATATCCAGAGAATTATGACATTGGAGGAATCCGTTCAACATGTAGTGATGGAAGCCATCCAGGAGGTAGGTGAGGGCATCCCCTCTAACAATCCTGCTGAAGTGTCAGGGGAGGGGGTCTGGTCTCTGCCTGGAAGTCAGCCATTCAAGGTCCATGTATGTTGGCTGTAAGTCAGAACGCTGTAGCCTCAGAAGTGTTGGCCTTTTTTTGCATTACAGGGAGACTCTGGGCAGGAGTTATTGGGCTATACTAGCCTTGGGGAAGGGGAGAGAGAGGCTCCTAGGCTGATTTGTAGAAGCCTTGAAGGTTGTGTCAGAGAGCCTAGCTCATCACAGTGCCCCCTTCCGCAGCTCATGACAAAAGACACTCCTGATTCCTTGTCACCGGAGACTTACGGGAACTTTGATACACAGGTAAAAATTGAGAAACTTGCTAAAGGTCACAAGCCCACCCCTGGTTCTCTGGCTGTTGACGTGGAAAGGCTTGTCCTTGTGTAGTCTAGGTAGCAAGAGTGAACTTTAGATCGTCCTGGCTTAGCCTTCTTGTAGCTGGGATCACAGGAGAACATCTGATAAAGGGGCCCGTTATCTTTAAGCTTAATCAGCCATCCCTGTCTCTCCAGTCTTAGCCTCACCTCTTGGCCCATCTCAGGGGTTAGAAAATCACTCTTCTTCCATTCTCTTAGGACCCCAGCCCACTCTTAGATCCTGGGGCTCCTCAGGGCCCCTGGAAATCACAGCTTTTCTACTCCCTCTCTTCTGACCGGATCCCCAAGTCCTTCATCTCCCACCCCTTGTTCATCTCCTCAGTCCCGAAGATACTATTTCCTGAGTGAGGAGGTGGAGGAGAGTAATGACCTTCAGCAGCACTACCTGGATCTGGAGCGGCAGGTGGGTGAGGCTGAGGGAACAGGGCCACTTGCGTAAATCTACCTACATAAAACCTGGTTCATGCTCCAGTTCACCTGTCTTCCCCGCCCACAGCTTGTACTCCTTTCAGAGGAGAAGCAGAATCTGGCACAAGAGAATGCTGCCCTACGGGAACGGGTGGGCCGCTCAGAAGTGGAGAGCGCCCCTGGTCTCACTGCTAAGAAGCTGTTGCTCCTGCAGTCACAGCTGGAACAGCTGCAGGAGGAGAACTTCAGGTATGGTCAGCCAGGGTGGGGCCAGGGCACTGGGGCCACAAGGCATCTTTCTGACGTGCCTTTCTCCCCACACCCTAGGCTGGAGAGCAGCCGGGAAGATGAGCGGCTGCGCTGCATGGAGCTGGAGCGGGAGGTCACTGAGCTGCAACAACGGAACCAAGCACTGACCAGCCTATCCCAGGAGGCTCAAGCGCTAAAGGACGAGATGGACGAGCTTCGGTAGGTAGCACATCCAACTCCCAAATGCTAAGTGGACCTATACACTGAACCACACAGTGCCACTAAGGCCCAATACAAATGACCCCTTGATTCATGAAGCCCCCTTGGTTTCACTGTATCATTAGCAAACACCCGACAGCACAAATACAGCTCCCCCCCCATTTAATACTCTCCAGATTCCCCAGTTGGATCCCATCATGTCCTTGGATTCTAGTGTCCTCTAAGACTGTAGCCCTCTAGGCTTAGAATGCTAATACACCCAGTGAACATCCCACCTCGCTTCTGAAGACTCATTCCTCACAGCTCCCACATGACCCCAAAGTGTCCTTATCACTCACTTTTGTCCCATAGCTCTTGCATGTCTGTGCAGTTCCTGGGAACCTTTCCACTATAACCTGTTACCCTAATGACCCCTATAGAGCTACACATATGGCCAACACCTTCACCTTGAATCCAAATCTCTCAGGCTGAAACCCTTCCCTGCCCAACATCCCAGCTGGCCTCTGAAATTTCCACTCCCTGTGCCTTTCTCAGGCAGTCCTCTGAACGTGCTAGGCAGCTGGAGGCCACTCTGAACAGCTGCCGTCGCCGCCTGGGTGAGCTGCGGGAGCTCAGGCGGCAAGTGCGGCAGCTGGAGGAGCGTAATGCCAGCCATGCAGAACGCACGCGGCAGCTGGAAGAAGAGCTGCGCCGAGCAGGATCCCTGCGTGCCCAGCTAGAGGCTCAGCGCAGACAGGTAAGTCAGGAAGCACCCCCCACCAATGGCTGGACCCATGGCTATAGTCCGCACAGCTCTGTAACCTTCCATCTTGTATTGCTAGATCATGCTCTCTAAATGCACCTGGCTGGTTTGTGAGCCCCGCCTCTCTTAAGCACCATTCCTCCCAACTTCTTGGCACCACCAGGTGCCTTCTGGCTCCATCCCCTCTTCTGCTGCTCCATTGCTGCTGCCCCTCCTATCTCTGCTGTCCTCTCCTTTTCCCATGGTTTCTCCGTGTAGCCCCGGCTTACCTGGAACTAGCTCTGTAGACTGGCCTCGAATTCAAAGATCCGCCTGCCTCTGCCTTCTGAATGCTAGGACTAAAGGTGTGAGCCACCACAGCCCCATCGTGTGTGTGTGTGTGTGTGTGTGGGTGGGTGTGGGTGCGCGTTTCCTCTGCATGTGTGTCTGTACCACATGTTTGCCTGCTGCTCATGGAGGCCAGAAGAGGGCATCAGATCCCTTGGGACCAGAATTACAGATAGTTGTGAGCTGCCATATTGATGCGCTGGGAATCAAACCCTTATCCTCTGGAAGAGAGGAGCCAGTGCTTGTTTGTTGAGCCATCTCTCTAGCCCTCAACTTCCCTTCTTAAGTTACACTTATTTATTTTGTGTGTGAGTGTTTAAGTGGAGTTCAGAAGACAACTTGCAGAAGCTGGCTCTCTCTTCTTACTCTGTGGGTTCCAGGGACTGAGCTCAGGCTGCCAGGCTTGGTGGCATGTGCTTTCCTTTCATCTGTCCAGTGAGTCCCAAGCCAGCTCCTCTTCTGCAGGTGCAGGAGTTGCAAGGCCAGTGGCAGGAAGAGGCCATGAAGGCTGAGAAGTGGCTGTTTGAATGCCGAAACCTAGAGGAAAAGTGTGACTTGGTGACAAAGGAGAAGGAGGTAAGACTGAGGCCCTGCAGCCCAGGGCCCTGTGTGTTCTGGGATAGAGCCCAGTCCAACTGGCACCTTGCATCCTGTCCCTGTAGCGACTTTTGACAGAGAGGGACTCCCTGAGGGAGGCCAACGAGGAGCTCCGTTGTGCCCAGCTGCAGCCGAGGGGACTGGCTCAGGCTGGTGAGTTTCAGGTCTGGGATGGAAGTGGTCTGTGGCTGTACTTTAGCCCTCAACGGTGACCTTGAAAAGGACCAGGGATAGAGACTGGGTGCACAGAAACCTGAAGATTTCTTGTTTTCTTCAGGCCTCTCTCTGGATCCTACCCCTTCTGGCCTGGAAAACTTAGCAGCAGAGATCCTGCCTGCAGAGCTCAGGTACATTGGGACCTCTTAAAGCTCTGGACCCATCCAGGCTAGGCTTTTCCTCAGCCCCCCCTCTCAGAGTGCAAGCCTACCATTTGTCTTGGTTGCCTGGTTTAGGCTTCCCTGTCCCCTGTTCCTGCTTCTGCCCTGCTCTGGCCACAGGTGCTACTTACTGTCCCAAAGGCTCTCCAGAGGCCTTTTCTTTCATTGTTTTTTTTGAGAAAAGGGTTTCTCTGTATGACAGCCCTAGCTATCTTAGAATTCGCTTTGTAGACCAGGCTGGCCTCAAACTCACTGAGATCCACCTGACCCTGTCTCCCAAGTGCTGGGATTAAAGGTGTGTGCCACCACCGCCTCGGCTTCAGGGACTTTTTCAGTGCACAAATTCAATCCAACCCATGTGGCTCCACTCCAGATGCAAAAGTCCTACATTTTAGCCCCGCTTACTTTAATCTGACCCAGGTTCCTGCTCTGGTGTCATTGGAGCTCCTACTAGGTCCAGTTTCTTTTACCCTGCTTTGGTAACTCCCACCTAGCTCTTACTATTTCCACAGCTCGATGCAAGTGTTCTAATCCTCCCCACCCGGCACCTGCACACCTCTTTGGAGCCCTGTCAACTTTGATTTCCCTTTAGTCCTCCATCCACTGTGTCTAGGTCAGCCCCCAGAGCCTGAGCCACTAAAGCCAGGTCCTCAGTACTCCTACCCCAAGGCAGGCTAGACTCTTTCCAAGGCAGCCCTGGGCCCAGAGTTTCTCACCTAATGGCCCTTCTACTATTCTGCTCTCTTCAGAGAGATGCTCCTGAGGCTTCAGCTGGAGAACAAGCGACTGTGCCAGCAGGAGGCCGCAGACCGTGAGCGACAGGAGGAGCTGCAGCGCCACCTGGAGGAAGCCAACCGAGCAAGACATGGGCTGGAAACTCAGCACAGGTGAGAGCTACAGCCAGCTTGTTTGAAAGGGTGATCTACAGTGACCAAATGCAAGTACTGAGCACCCTTCCCCACCAGGCTGAATCAGCAGCAGCTGTCTGAGCTGAGAGCCCAGGTGGAAGATCTACAAAAGGCCTTGCAGGAACAGGGAGGCAAGGCTGAGGACGTGAGTGGCCCCCTCCTGCTTACCTTGTCCCCCTCCAGTGCCCCCCAGTAACCTTCCTTTCTCCCCAACCCCCTGCTGCCCGATGCCCGATGAAGGCCACTGTGAGTACCATGGTCCAGGGAGGCACCCCTCGTCACCCATACAGGTTTTCAGACCTCGTCCCTATCCACTCACTCCTTGCTACTTCTTTCCCTCAGCCCACCGTGCTGAAGAGGAAACTGGAAGATCATCTGTAAGTGCAGAGAGTTGTCATTCCTGGGGTAGGAACCCTTGGGGCCAAGGGGTGGAAAATTGTGTGTGAGGAGATCCAGTCAGCTCTGGTCAAGTGCAGTCTTTATTCTGAGACAGGGTGTTGTGTAACTGAAACTGGCCTTGAATTCCTGCCTCTCTGTCTCCCAAGTGCTGAGATTACAGGTGTATGTCTTGCTCTCAAGTGTGATCTTTTGTTTGTTTTATGTGTGTGTGTGTTTTGAAGGCTCTCAGCCCTTGGAACTTGAGTTACAGGCTACCTGTGAGCCGCCATGTGGATGCTGGGAACTATACTTGGGTCTTCTACAAGAACAGCAAGTGATCTTAACCCCTCCTCTTTTGTTTTATTATGAAACAAGTTCTCTCTGTAGCCCAGACTGGCAGAGGCCTTGTAATCCTCCTGCCTCAACTTCCCTCCTGTTGTGTTCATAGCATGTACCATATGCCTGGCTTAGAATCTGCTTTAGAAGCAGGGGATGGTGGTGCTGGCCTATGATTTCACCACTCAGGAGAGAGGAGGAGGGGCAGGAGTTCAAGGCCATCCTGGGTTATGTGAGACTCTGTCTCAAGCAAAGGGAGGGGCAAGCAGTCAAGGCACACACAGGGGCTAACCACCTTGACATGTGGGGCTCTGTGAGCAAACCCCCAGCCAAGTGGCCATCATATCTCTGCCTCAGTGTCAAGCACTGGACTGCATGCACAAGGCTTCTGTGTTCTAGCCTGGGGCTTGAGATATGGCTCAGCAATTAAGGTCACTTGCTAGTCTTCCACGGGAGCCAAGTTTGAATCTCAGTCCCCATGTCAGGTGGCTCATAATCACCTGTAATTCCAGCTCCAGGGGATCCAATATCCTCTTTTCCCCTCTGGCATTCACTCAGACCCACATGTAACACATAATAAGAAATCCTTAAAAAGACAAAAAACAAACAACAAACCCTGGCTGCTGGATAGAGGATGAAGCTGAGGTATTAAAAATGGAAGGGGATGACCAGGAATGAAGGGGTGATGGTCAGACAAACTTGGGGACCATGGGATGGGGAGATAATTGGACAAAACAAGGAGGTCTTAGTGGCTATAATGAACTTCTGACTCTCTGGGGTACCACTAGGATAAAAGAGAAGCCAGTGGGCCAGGAATGTGTCTCTGCTATAGAGCATCATCCCAGAGTTCAGTGAGATGCTAGAGTGTGGCCCAATGACAGCACTTGTCTATCATGGACAAGACCCAGGGCTATGTCCCCAACACCACGGATGGATGGACAGACAGACAGATGAATGGACAAGTGGATGGTTAGAAGGACAGACAGAGAGGGCAGCCCAAGATCATCTACTTTTTCCATGCCCACAGGCAGAAGCTGCATGAGGCTGATCTGGAGCTGCAAAGGAAACGAGAATACATTGAGGAGCTGGAGCCTCCTACCGACAGCAATAGTAAGTGGAGCTCAGCAGTCGTCAGAGCCAGAGGGAGCCCTTAGTGCAACCTGGAACTAGAGACCTTGTTTGTTCTTCAGCAGCCCGACGGATTGAGGAGCTGCAGGACAGCCTGCAGAAGAAGGATGCAGACTTGCAGGCCATGGAGGAACGCTATCGCCGCTATGTGGACAGAGCACGCACGGTAAGGATGCTAGGTCTCCCAGTATCCTCTTGCCTCAGGTCCTATTCCCTGTGCTTTCCATCAGTTCACATCCCCTGACAGTTTATACATCTCTGCCCTCTGCATTCACACCCTTCGTACCACATCATGTCATATCATAGACTTTTGCATGGTGCTGCTGCCAACGGCTGTCATGTCCTTTGCACTGCACTGTGTCAAGGGGTCTGAAAGAAGTTCCGGGACATACATAGCTTAGTGGTGGAACTTCTGTCATATGGTGCTGGAGACGTGGCTAAGTGATATAGAGTGCCTGTCTATAAGCTGGGGGTGGGGTCTGTGGCTCACTAATTATATTTGCTTAGCAGGCAAGAGGCCCTGGGTTCAGTCCCCAGTTTTCAAAAAAATTAGCAAATACATAACATAAAGCCAAAGTAAGGGGCTCAAGTCTGTATTCCCAACTATTGTGCATGCTTAGGCAAGAAAGATAAAGAGCCAGGCATGGGATACACTCCTTTAATTCCAGCTCCATGGAGACAGAGGCAGGTAGATTCCCATGAGTTTGGGGTCAGGCAGACTGCAGACAGATACGTTGTTTTAGACAGACAGACAGACATATAGTAGGAAAAAGATCCAGGTGTGGTGGCAAGAGGATCAAAAGTTTGAGGTCTGATCTGGATGAGACCCTGTCTCAAACGACAACACAAAATAGTGATAGAGCTATGTTGCCTAGCATAGCTCAGCACCAGATTCAGTCCCCAGGACTGCAAAAAGTCACTATCATTAAGATCAGGGTCACTCTCCTGTGATTTTTTTTCTAATCCCTAGGTCATTCAGAACCTGGAACCCAAGCAGAAGCCACCCACTGCGGTGTCCCCAGAACTCCATACTCTAAGGACACGGCTCTGGGATCGAAACACGCGAATAGGACACCTGGAGGTGGGTATCTCATCCTTCCGTGTGGCCCTCAGCACACCCAGGCCCCTGACTCTTGTTTCTCTGGCAGATGGACTATGAGAAGAGTCGGAGTCAGCGGGAGCAGGAGGAAAAGCTGCTCATCAGTGCCTGGCACAGCATGGTAAATGGGCTGCCTCCATGGCTGGTGTATTAGGTTCACGTGGCTTAGGTAGGTTTACTTACTCCCTGTCACTCTCTATAGGGCATGGCCTTGGAGCAACGGGCTGGGGAAGAGCAGTCTCCTGCCCATGCCCAGTCCTTCCTGGCACAGCAAAGACTGGCCACCAATGCACGCCGAGGACCTCTGGGACGCCTGGCTTCTCTGAGCCTTCGCCCCATTGATAAGCACTGACAGACCTCAACTTCCTGCTGCCTGCTGGAGTCCTCCAGCTCACATGGTACCCAGCTTGGGGCCTTGACTTGATTGAGGCTATGACTTCTGCTCTTTGCTTCCTTAGATGGGAGAGAAGGGGAGAGGCCTATATCAGGTGTAGGCCTATGTAGGCCTATTCTTTTTAGCAATGTGGTTCTTATCCTTGATTCTTCTCCTGGGCCTCATGAACTACCTGGGAAGAGCCTGATTTTTATATTTGAAAAGAATAAAGACTTTAGATCTGTTATGAATGGACTGTAGACACGATGGTGAGGAATAAAAAGTGGGCTGGGCCAGGCGGTGGTGCACACCTTTAATCCTAGCACTTGGGAGGCAGAGGCATGTGGATCTCTGTGAATTTGAGCCAGCCTGGTCTACAGAGCAAGTTCCAGGACAGCCTCCAAAGCCACAGAGAAAGCCCATCTTGAAAAAAATAAAGAAAAAGGGAGGGGGCTCTTGGGTCACAGACAATTGCCTTTAAGAAATCCTTATCTTGCATTCCTTTCCCCCTTCCCTTCCTTCTTCCTCCTTCCTTCTTCACATTTTTTCACATGTATAAGTATTTTGCCCTTGTGTATATTTGTGTACTATGTATATGCTTGGTGCCCACAGAGACCACAAGAGGGCATCAGAACTCCTGGAACTAGAGTTACAGATGGTAGTGAACTGGGAGTTGAACCCTGAGCCATCTCTCTAGGATAGGCCCCAAAGCTACAGAGAAACTTTGTCTCGAAAAACAAAACAAAAAAGAAATAACATAGGGAAGCTGGGTGTAGTGGTGCACGCCTTTAATCCTCACACTTGGGAAACAGAGGCAGGTGGATCTCTTAGAGTTTGAGGCCAGCCTGGTCTACATAGTAAGTTCCAGGATGGCCAGAGCTACATAGTGGGAACCATCCTGAAGAAACAAAACTAAAATAATAGGGCCAGAGAGATGGCTCAGCAGTTAAGGGCACTGTCTGCTTTCCCAAAGAACTTGAATTTGTTTTCCAGCACCCACATGACAGCTCACTCTATTTGTATCTCCAGTCCCAGAAGATCTAACATCCTCTTCTGGATGCAGAGGAACCAGGCAAGCAAATGATACACAGATTTACGTGTAGGCAAATGCTTGTTCACATGAAATAGTAGTTGACAAAACAAGAAATCAGTAAAGCAAACAAAACTGGCGTGTCTGGATTGGGACTAAGGTTGCCTGGCTTAGCTAGTACACAAGAGGCGTGGGTTGCACCCCCCCCAGCACCACATACACAGGACCTGGAGTGCTGAGCAATTTTCTGTTTGAGGTTTCAGGTGCTTGGAGCAAGGGTAAAACTGTTGCTTTGAAACAGTGGCTAACTCACTGATAGTGGGTCTGGGGTATAGCTCAGGGTTTCCACTGCTTGTCTTTCATGCTAAGGGCTCTGATCACCATTTCTCTCTCACCAGCGAATAAAACCAAAGGTACTACATCAAAATTTGGGGGTGGGGGAATGACTAGAACATCAAGAAAGTCTGGAAGGCCAGGTGTGGTGTCACCTGCCTTTAAGCCCAGCACTAGGTAGGTACAAGAGATGAATGTGAGCTCCAAGAGCCTAGTCTATATCAGGAGGTACAGGCCATCTGCCCAGTAATACCCTGTTTTCAACAACAATAAAAAGCCCAGAGGAACTTCCAAATCTTGTAAATGAACTGGCTAGAGACACCATTTCAGTATTAACCATTTATTGAACACCTTTTATAAACCAGTTAATTTATTTTTGTTTTAATCCTCACAAGTTCATGAGGTAGGCACTCACAGTTCCACTGGAAGGGAAGAACCCAGGCCACCAGTCAGGTGGTGGTTTGTGGAAAGCAAAGCCACTTAAAGAAGCTGGGAGTAGGGGAGAAAGAAAAAGCAACAGCAGCTGGGAGAATATGGACCCCTAACCACCAGCCCCAGTGGGAGACATAGCTGGATCAAAACTGGCAGGTCGACTTTGTACAGGCCTGGCTAGCTTATGCATTCCTTGGTGGTCACCAGCATGCCCTGTGCAGAACTGGGTGTCCGTAAGGGTCCTGGTCCCAGGGTCTCAGGCCGGACTCTCTTCCTCCTCTCCAATAGGGCTGGGCAGCCAAGGTGGCGCCGAAGCTCGGGGCACTGGAATGGGCACGGTAGTAAAAGCTTCAGCAGTCTGCCCTGGGATGAGGGCAGGGGGCTCAGGACATGTTGGGGGCTCGAGCTCTGGCTCTCGCAGGCTGGGGTCGAGCAATGGCTCTCCACAACTGCACTCAACGCCTCCGCTATCTGCAGCGCCTGCACACCCGCAGCTGGCTGCAGTGGAAGCTTCTGACACGCAGCTGTTCTTACGCCTTAACAGCGACAGGCGCCGCCCCAGTGGGCCCACGGTGCCGGCACCAGCCGGTAGGAGGCGCTGCAGAAAGTCTCCATGAGCCTCTCCCAGTGGGCCATCCACACCATCCGGCCGCTGGAACTGCATGTCCTCTTTAGCCAGCCTGCAGGAAGGACGGGGGTCAGCACTGAGGTCTCGCTCCTTTGTGTTGATATATTTATTACTTCATTCTATTTTTCTGGTGTTTTTGGAGACAGGGTTTGTTTATGTATCTCGAACTCACAGAGATCCGCCTATCTCTGCCTCCCAAGCACTGGGATTAAAGGCCTGCGCTAGCACCGTCTGGTTTTCTGGTATTAGTTTATTTGTTTTATTTTTTAGTAGCTCTAACTGACCTGAAATTCACTGTGCAGTCCAGACTGGCCTCAAACTTGGTGGACGAACCTCTCTGCCTGTCTCCCCAGTCCTGGGACTGGCTGCAGATGTATACCACCAAATCCAGAGCTCTCTATCTATCTCTGTTTGTTTAGCGGTGTTTGAGGTGAAAGTTAGGACCTCTTGCATGGTAGACTAGACCCTACCCTCATCCGGACCTTTTCTCTTCTGGATCCACAAAGCAGATCTGAGGCACCTGAGATTTACCTCGCTCCCCCCACACCTTTGTGTCACTGAAAGACTTAGCTATATCCTCTGGCGTTATAACCTCAAACGTGGCCCCCATCTTTTCTCTGAAAGTCTTTATATCTGCTCCTGGTCTCCAACTAACGACGGGTTCCCATCCAGTCACAGCCCCAAACTTGATCTCTCTCCTGATCCCCTCGGCTCCACCTCCCGAGTGCTAGGGTTACTGGAATACGCCACTTCTCTGGGCCAAATTGCCTAGTTTGGTTCCTGGAAGCCCCCTTCCCCTGATTAATCACAGACCCAAGACCCTTCTGGGCCATTAGAGCCCTAAGCCACGCCCATCGCGCTAGCTCACGCTATATCAAAGGTGGAACCCTGGAAGGAGGGTTGTTGCAGCAAGAAAGCTGTGGCCGCGGTATAGGGTGCGCGAGCCTCGGCTGCATCCCAGTATAGATCTTTCTCCAGCATAGCCAAGTCGTCATACATCTCGTCCACTGCCAGCATCGACACCTGAGGATGTGGACACGCAGGGTGGGATGGGTGGAGCCTTCATGGTGTGTGACCAAAGAGAGAAGGGTGAGGCCTAGGTGAGTCTGAGACTACTTAGGAAACTCCTGTAGCCACCAGGAGGAGACTCTGACCTGGAAATTGCGGTCAATAAGAAAGTTGGTCTCAAAGTCGTCGTCGTCCTCTCCGAAAGGGTTGATGAGCTGCTCGGCTACCTGAGTACAGAGAAGAGAGACAGATGGAGCTAGGACAGTCTTTCAGGCCCTACTCTAACGTTCTGCCCCCCCCAACCCACCCACCTTAAGCCAGCCAGCATAGAAGAAGAACTGCAGTAAGGTGAAGATGGGAATGCATAGGTCCAAAGTGTGGTCTTTGTAGCCCTGTGCAGGGTCGAGGAACTGACGGCCGATGAGGCAAGCCAGGAAGTAGCTGTACACTGCGATAGTCACTACCTGGGGGCCGGCAAATGGAAACGAAATCACTTCTGACCCCGGCTGCTCCATGTACCTCAGGGAGTCATGGAGAGATCAGGGCCAGCAATAAACATCAGGGTGACTGAGTTTTAGCTGGCTTTCAGTCCCTACATTCTTTATAATTGAAAAATGATCTCACTATGTAACCTAGCCTGGTTTCAAACTCTGGGTCCTCCTGCTCAGCTTCCTGAATGCTGGAAGTAAGTTCAGATGTGTACCATTATGACTGACCTTGTTTTTCCCTTAAGAGGAACAGGGTCTTCTATGCTGAGTATAAATGGAGGCACGGAGACGTTACCTGGGTGTAGACGAGGGGTATGCTAATCCAGTCGTAGTGAAACAGCATCCCACATTTGCTCCGAAACACATTCAGCTCCTATGGGTAGATGTGGGTCATGAAGGGGTTGAACACTGAATTCATGTGGAGATTAAGTATAAGTACCCGGTTGCAGAGGGGTCACATGTCAGGAATTAGGCCAGTGTTTCCAGGAGCTACAGGGTATTTGGTTGTGATGTACAGCTGGGGGGGGTACCACGCACTACAGGGAAATAAGTGCATTGGTAAGGATGTTTGGATTATGGACTCGTGGGAGGTGCGGAGTCAGTCGTCCTCGCTCTACTCCAAAGTGCACAATTTTCTGTTATTCTATAAGAATACCTTCCTCTCAGGCCCACCTCCAGCAGCAGCTTAAGGGCACTGTTGTCGCGGATGCGCCCCTCTCGCCGCGCCTGCGCCGCCAGGCTAGAGAACCACACGCAAGGCACCCAGTACTTGTTGTAGGATGAGTTCAAGTTCTCGAACTTCTTGCGCTCCTCGCGGGTCATAAATCCTGGAGGGGTGTGATCCGAAGTTACTGGCATCGCTCTCCTATCTGGCCCTGCCATCCTCTGGCCAAAGACTCACCAGCCTCGACCACGTGGTCTATGGTGGGGAACCGCTTGAAGACTGCTGTGCTGACTGAGCGAAGGATCAGCACCGCCGAGAGCCCCGCGTAGCGCATGAGTGTGCGCCGGTAGAGGCGGCCTCGATCGTCGCGCCCATGCACGGTGCCGACCACCGCGCACATGAGGGCGTCGGGCAGAGGCATGCATAGGTACTGGTTCCACCAGCGATGCACCACCAAAGTCACATAGAAACCTTAAGGCAAGCCGGAGATGGAAGCTCAGCAGGGATTCAGGGGCCAAGAGTTTGGGAGCCCAAGTCGTGGAATTGGAATGACAGACTCCTGGAAAAGGCTGGTCAACCTGATCACACGTGCCATCTGGCCTAAGGACATGGGCATTCGGCCACCCTGAAGTCAAAGAGGTTGGAGCAGGCTGAGGTGCCCTGGGATGGGAGATTGTATCTGGCCCCCCAGGAACTGGGCTTGGGGTATCTGGATTGGAAACAAGGTGAGGACACTGGTGTTTGGAGGTGGAATGCAAATCAGGGTCATCTAGATAGATTTATCACAACAGCCATTTGTAGTCCTTGAACCCTGGTTATGAAAGTTTAGTCCTTAGCCCGAGTTACATAGGGAATTTCAGGCCAGCCAAGGCTACATAATGAGAGGCCCCATCTCAAACAAACAACACACACACAGAAAGAAAGAGTTTGCCCCTATGTAAGAGGGAGACCTGGGCAGACTGGTCATCCCATCCAAGTGATAGGAGGGTCACAAGAGGTTTTTGTGGGGCTAGGGACCAGACTGGGTTTTGAATAGAGTCATATTTCGTCCTTGGAGGGAAGGGTCTCAGGATGTGTGGGAGAATGGTGATAATCAGTGTCTCAGGATGTAGGGTCATATGGGCGTCTTCGAGGTGTGGATTCAGAAGTGGGAATCCCTAGAGGTCAGATTTGAGTGAGGCGCCTTAGAAGGGTAGGAATGGGGCACGGATGGAAAACAGATTTCTCCCTTATGTAGGAACCTCACCAAGCACGAAAGACACAGGGATGAGGCTGGCGTACTGGTCGCAGTACATGACAAGCTTCTCGAAGTAGCGCTTCTGCCCTTCTGCCAGTAAGAAGCTGCGGGGTAGGGAATGCAGTGGCTACAGGTCTCTCCTCCACTCCCAATCCCTTCCTTTTGGAGCGATTCCCGACCCCACCCCAGGTCTCACCGATAGGCGGCGCTCAGCGCCATGTAGAGCCCCAGGAAACACAACAGCTCTCGCCACAGGAGCTTGTAAATGCTTCCGCGCCAAAGCAGCAGGAGCTGTGAGAAGCCACCGAAGCGGGCATTCGCCACTCGGGCTGTGTAGGTGACAGTCATCGCTGTGCCGGGCCAGTGTGGCTAATGGAGAAGGGGTTAGTTTGGGCGCCGGCCTGTGAGCCAAGGGGAAAAGGCTGCGAGGAGACGACCCTGGGGAATTTCGGTTGCAGATGCCAGCAGACACAGCACACTGTCCTCACAGCACTAGGTCCCCACCGCGTTCTGTTACACCCACCCCCCTGCCCCAGGTCCTGCTCTATCCCCAGCGATCTTCCACCTTCTAAACCCTTGGATAATCTAGTCCAGTTTTGAATTGCCTCCCACGTACCGTTCCCCCCATCCATTTCACATGTACGACGCTCAACCTCCTGGACTTCCCAAGTCCCCAGTTTCTAAATTCTCAAGAGCTTCAACACCGCCCCTCCCCTTACTGCCCACTCTCCCAACCTTGGTTCCTTCGCTCCTCTCCCTTGAGCCTACAGTCTGCAGACTCAGAGTCTGGGGTACTGTCCTCTCATATTCAGAACTGCTCCCAATGGAGTCTAGGACCTCATCTGTCCAACAGCCTCCCTGTCTCCAATAGATTCCAGCCTACTCATACTCCCGCTTACTCCTCCGGTTCTGACCCTTCCTTCTACTCCAGACCCTCCTCTGCCTCCCTTTCTTGTTGCCCCTCCTAGCCTCTCCCCACCCCGACCCCGTGTCCCCCAGGAGCACTGCCCAAAGCCTGTCAGTGTAGGGCCCTTTATTCTCCCAGGCCTGGTCATTCTCACCTGTGTTGAAGGTGGCAGTACAGGGATAGACAGGGACAGAGACTGAATGGAAGGGTGGCTTCAGTGTTGGGTGGGGTGAAGCCAGACTCTGCGGGAAGGGACCTGGGGAGTGGGCGTGGGCAGCCTCTCCCAGGTCCATTCTCTCTAGCTGAGCTACAGCCTCAGAAGTTTGTTTGGAGAAGGTATGCCAGTTTGTCTCCTGGGCAGGGGGGTGGGGCTGGGTGGGGTGGTGGTAGTGTGGGAGGGAGGTCTGTCTGCCCGGTATTTTCTTGCTCCTCTTTGTCTCCCTCCCTAGTAGGGAGAAGGAAGCTACAGCTGGAAGAGAGGGGAGAGGCACCCTCCTAGACACACACACACACACACACACACACACACACACACACACACACACACAGGCAGTAAGACTAGGTCACCTTTAGGTTACCTGTGATCACCAGCTGTCACAAAGATGCACACATTTAGCTTCTCTAACACAGCTTTACTTAACCACTGTGGCAATTCACACTGTCACAAAGAAACTTTCAAAGTCAGCCAGGAGTGCTGGCAGCTAAGACAGGAGGACTGTCATAAGTTCCAGGCTAGCCTGGACTATCGGGGGAGACTGGGTCTCAAAAAGCCAATAGAGGGGCTGAAGAGATGGTTCAGTGCTTAAGAGTGTATACTGCTCTTGTTGAGTTTGTCCCCAGCACCCACTCTGGTAGCTCACAATCACCTGCAACTCTAGCCCCAGGGGACCCAAGGACACCTGTACTCTGGTGCACATATTGTTAGTATTCAGGTATCTCTCCTGTTCTGTCCTTGGGGTCCTGACAGGATAGGTCCTCAGCTGCAGCCATTAAGAGCACCTCCTGTACACATTCATTACGTTCCCTTTTAAAAGGTGAGTCTTGCCCACCTCTCATATCTTTTTCTCTCTCTCTGCCTTTCTGTCTGTCTCACTCTCTTTCCCCCACCCTCAATCTACCTCTCTTTTCTGCTGCTTCTGTCTCCAGAAGCCAGCCTCCCCTCCCCTCTCTCTTTCCCCATTCCAATAATAATAATAATAATAATAATAATAATAATAATAATAATAAAACCTCCACATGAGCTCTGTCGAGTCGCATGGTGTCTTTCTTTTGCATGTTGCTTTTTAAATTACAAGACGTATCTCCACACAGGCATACACACATATACACATAATTGAAAAAGTAGAGCTGGAGATGTGGCTCAGGGGTTAAGAGCTCAGACTGCTCTTGCAGAATTTGGTACCTAGCGCCCACACTGTTGCTTACAACTGTCTGTAACCCCAGTTCCAGGGTTTCTGATGCTCTCATTTTGCCTCCTGAGGCACTAAGTACTTATGGAGTTTATTTCTGTAGATGCAGGCAAAACACCCAGTATAATAAAGGCATGTTCGTACATGCCTTTAATCCCAGAAGGTGGCTTTCTGAGTTCAAGGTCAGCCTTGTCTAGAATCTGGTCACATAGTGAGTTCCAGGACAGTCAGGACTGCATAGAAAAATAGTCTCAAGGAAAAATAAAAATAAAAAAAAAGGAAGTCACCTCTTTAATCCAAGCATTTAGAGAGGCAGAGGCAGGCAGGCTATGTGAGTTTCAGAACAACCTGGTCTTCAGATCTATATAGAGAGTTCCCGACCCTCTCCCTACTAAAAAAAGTATAAAGAAGCTAGCATTCTTTGGGAGGCAGAGGCAGAGACACCAACCTGGGCTACAGAGTGAATTTGGGGCAAGCCTCAGTTTGCTACAAGGTAGAATTCTGCATAAAAAAAATAATGCTGGGCAGTGGTGGCCCACACCCTTAGTCCCAGCACTCCAGAGGCAGAGGCAGGTGGATCTCTGTGAGTCCAAGGCCAGCCTGGTCTACAGAATGAGTGTCAGGACAGCCAGGGGGATACAATAAAATGCTGCCTCCAAAAAAAAAAAAAAAAAAAAAAAAAAAAAAAAAAAAAAAAACTAAAAACAAACAAACAAAAGAAAACACAAACAAAAACGGTCACGACATGAGTTTAATCCCTGGAACCTGTATAAAGAGAAGCAACTCCACACAGCTGCCCTCTGACACTCCCCTCCCCACACCATGTATGAAGTCACGTAAGGCACATGTAACCTCACCCTCCTCCCTCCACTAGAGCAAGTGGCTGTAATGCCAGTGAAACCTGGAAGCAGCCAGTTCTCAGCTCATGGACCCACACTCACTGCTCCGAACAGACTTACAGGAAGGCAGAAGAAGACGGGGGGGGGGGGGGGGGGGTCTGCCTTCCTGTAAACTCTTGTCATATGACAAGGACTCAGGAGAGTGAGCAGGCACCCAAGCCTTCCCATCTACAGCCACAGCCATTCAGCTTGAAGTCTCCCTTTCCTCTGTACAAAGACACATCCAAAGTCACATGAGAAGTGTGGGGAGACCTCCCTTAACACAGTGGAATACAATCCTAGGGTCAGAGCAGTGCCTTGGTGGTCCCTGACATTTGCCAATTTGCAAAGGTTGTGGGTGGCTTAATGGTAGAAGACTTGCCAAGCATTTGTGCGAGGTTCCATCTCTAGCATGACAGGGGATGACAACAGAGAACTTTCCTTAACATCCTCACCAACTCAAACCCCAGTGACATTAATGCATTTGTACATTAATATATTTAGACAGGCATAGTGGCATGTACCCATAATCCCAGCATTTTGGAGGCTATGCATTCAAGGACAATCTAAGTTATATAGTCAGGCCCTGACTAAAATTAAAAAAAAAAAAAAAAAAAAAAAAAGCCTCTTCTCAATGCTTCCTTTATGTTCTGTGTACAGAAACACCCAGACATATCTCAGGTCTCATACTCAACAACGTCCTGAACACATAACGAGTGACATAAATCCTTGTCCCTAGGTTTGGCACTGATTCGAGACAGATGTTCTCTTCAGAGACACGAACAGGAGGGCCACTCCCAGCCTGGCACAAAGAGCACTCCCACGCCACCCCCAACTTCAAGCACGCCCAGATACACGGGTATGAGGGGGCAGAGACTCAGGGGTCCCACCTGGGGAGGGCACGCTGAGGTCCCTTCCCATGAGTTCTTTGGGACCCACCTGCTTAGCAGCAGAAGTGGGAATTCCCCAGTGTAGCACCACTGGGAGGCCCATCTGGCCAGGACACAGTGTTCCCAGGTTGGCAGATGTCTGCCCCACCTGGGTAAATTAGGAACCAGCTTGGGCCGGCCACCCTTGGACTCATATCTCCGCTGTCCAGCTGCCCAGCAGCCCATAAACTCCAGCAATGGTAGCCGGCTGGGGTGACACTGTAGGACCTGGGAACTGGACAGGCTGTTCTTTGACAGACTGCCCTGACTCCCTGCAGCTCATCCCTTCTCCTCCAATACACACATTCCCACACAGGTCCTGACCCCTAGCCGGTCTGGAGGGCAGGTTGCTTAGTTCACATGAATTCTCACTGCAATAGCACATGACTCTTAGTGAGGTCTGAAGAAAAAAAAAATCCTGTGCCAGCAGGGAAGATGGTTGCTGTTATTTCCACCAGCCTCACAGGCAAACCACATCTCTGATGATACAAGGATCTGAACCCAGTCAATATAGGCTTGGAGTCTGTGGTCCTTCTTCCTTATGGTTGCTCCCATTTGTTTACATTTGTCACTCCAACGTGCCCACACCAGCTTGCACACACCCGGTCCTACAGTCCAGCGCGAGGACAAGTCTAGGCGCATGAATGGGTTCCCCTTACATACATTCCCGGGCACGCCTAGACCCTGGGTGTACCAGGAACATTTCTGAGTCATGTATGTCTTCCAAAACCCCTTCTTGTCCCATCACACCAAGCAATTGTGGCTTGGAACTTGAAAACCCTCAAAATTCATGTTTTATTCCCATTCTCTCAGGTGTCCGTTACAGGGTTGTTCAGCGGGTATAGGGAGGGCAGGGTTATGGGGTCTGCTAAGTAGCTTCCTCAAAGGTGGTGTGAGAATTCATGCCACAGTTCAGGTGCCCAACCGAAGGACTGTGGGAGTATAGCTCGGACAGCTGGAACTTCAGGAAACCTTCTGAAAGCAGGTCCAGCCTGAAGGGAACCCCCAGCATCTTCTGCCTCCTGCCAGTCCTCATCAGTCCTACCCCAGGAGGGGCTGAAAGCATCTCAGGAAGGCAGGAACTAGGGGTGTGTATGCAGATCCTTAATCCCCAGTCTGGCAGGCCCAGCCTCTGCCCAGGGCGCCCACTAATTCCCAAACTAAACAGCAGGCGGTGTTGGGCTCATTGCCTGCTTAATCTGTTCCCTACTAGCCTGGGGCTGGCCATGGGGCCTAAAAGATTCCCACACTGATTTCTT